TAACTTGCGAGTGAGTAAACACCGCGCCTGAGGTTCAGACAGAACATAAACATACAAATAAACATAAACAGACGGAACAGTAAAATATAGATAGCAACATACGGGTGAGTCAACACTGCGCCAGAGGTTCAGATATATATATATTAGAGTGTCACTAAAAACAACTTTTTTTGAAATTGTCTGTTGCCACCCCCTAAATGTGTTTTATCTAATAAATTAACACTAAATTAAAAAAATTTGTAAATAAAAAAATTTTTTAGGGGTTGCTCAAGACCCTTAAACATCAAACGAGTTTATAAATATTACTAGTTTAAATTTATGGCCAAAAAACTATAATTTTTTGACAAAAAATTAAAAGTACATATTTTCAAAGTTTTTTTTTAAATAAACTTTTTTAATTTGTGTTTCCATAAATTGTTTTTATTAGTTTTGAAATTTTCATAAAATTTCACTCCTTTTGAGACCCAACATGTTAACTTTTGAAGAACTTTTTTTTCAAAATATTTGGGACCCGTTTGATGTTTAAGGGTGTTGAGCAATCCCTAAAATATTTTTTTGTTCAAAAATTTTCTTATATATTAATATATATATATATATATATATATATATATATATATATATATATATATATATATATATATATATATATATATATATATATATATATATATATATATATATATATATATATATATATATATATATATATATATATATATATATTAGGGAAAAAAAAAAGGTTTCGTTCACTCGGAATCTGGGCTTAAATTTTTGAGATTTTTTTAAAAATTTTTAGAAATTTAGTTTTTGCCACCTTTGAACCCATTTTTTTGGCAAGGCAAAAAGTTGCACATAGCTTTTGTAGTTAATATTAGACGTAACCCAAAAGCTCTCTCCAAAAAAATAAAAAAAAGTTGCGTGACACTGTGCGGTTGGCTAATTATCATAGTTCAAAAGTACAAAATCAATCAGTTTTGTCAATTTTTAATTGGAGTTAATTCTAGCGGCGAAGTGTTGCACACAATCTTTCTTTTAGGATTTGAAATTATCAAAGGTATTGAGTCTAAAAATGCAAAAAAAGTTATGTGATACCTAAGGCCTATTAATATATTAAGGCTTGAAATTGGAAAAAAATGTTATAGTATACTTACAAAAGGAACCATTACGGCAGAGGCGCTTAGTTTTGTAAAAATGTAAACATATCCAACTGTCAATACAAAAAGGTCCTAACATAATAATAAAAAAAATTCGTGCGATTTTGTCACACGCATGATATAACATGAATTAAAAACTGAACAAAAATCTAACATCAAGATAACTATATTGCTAATTAAATAAAACATAAATCAAACATTTAAATGTTTTTCCATTTAAAATTAGTTTTTCATTTATTAATAGAGTCATTTACACACATTATCCACCACATCACACATAATTTCTACTCTGCTGCAGTAAGTTTCTCTAAGAATAATGATATGACTGTATTATAGTCTTCTTCGGATAATGAATAATCGCCACAACCACTGATTAGAAATGGAGCATTTACTAAACAGATAATTTTATCAGTTTGGTTATTTATCTCCTCGGTAGTAACTGGCCAGCGAAAAGTATTCTTCTCTTGCCCGTTAATCATACAATTAACTCTGATCCCAGATATAGATACCTAAAAGTATTAGCGCAACATTTAAAATAATATAATAAAGAGTTTATGATTTGTTTAATTTTGCTTACATTCAATAAAACTTGTAAAGTCTTATATAATGTCATTCTGAAATTATTTTTACATTTTATTTATATTCCTTTTATTTTAGAGCACTGTTTTGTAAAACAAAATAAAAACTTGAAACTAATATATACTTTGAATAATATTACCTCCACAATATATCCAATATTCCATTGTTTTTCATATGCAACAGCAACCTAATCATTCACTTTCCATAAAAGACAAATTTCTTTTGCAAGATTGGCGATGTCTTCCTCATATTTATTATCATCTTCATTGTCTCCTGTCAGATTAAAGTCATCGTTTTCGCCATAAACTTCTTTGTTATCGTTAACCTGACTATTTTCATTATTTTCTGTTGTCAGTTCTACCAGCTTACCTTTTCTTTTCAGGTTACTAAATCTATAACAATATCAATTGTACATATTTTTAAACATATGTAAACAAACACACAAAATTATAACTTTCACCTAAATTTTAATTTCATATTTGTAAAAGAACTATTTAACAGTCAGAAACATAATCTAATTTGCAAAAGTTTTGATAGCAACAATGCCTACCTTGAAAATAAAGATCTTATCTGTTGGCTAATTACATATTGATCAGGCGGAAGTTCTCTCCTCAGCTGCATGTGAACCTGCTCAGGGCTCATTTTATTACCTGATTCTTCTCCACGAATAAAGTATTTTTACAACAGTTCTTTCTGCTGATTTGAAAATCTAAAAGAACTTCGAACTGGTAATGCCCAACCTTGCAATAGAAAAATGTTCATGCAATGTGGTTTGTCTTTTACGGAAGCACTGTTAGAGGATGAAGAAATTGGCATATTTAGTAGTGAAGTAATTTTCATCTTATGAACAAACGAGTTGCGAACTTTATCCAATGATGTTAATGATTTCGGAACTGTATGAAGACCGGATAGCATGTGTTCTTCTAATTCAGCATCGATTTCAAATGATAAAGTACAATTCATTTCAGTGCAAAATCTTAATGAATATAATTGCCTGTCACTTCTTTTCTGTTTTTCCTTAAGTGACTTGTTACGCTTAATTGAATTATCTGTTTTGCTATATGGCAACAACAACTTAATCGAGGGTTGAATTTTAAGATTTCCATACTCTTGTTCAATTGAAATAACACCACATCTTCATACTTTTCTCACCAAACTCAAATGAGTGTTAATTGCTAATTTTCTTAATCTTTGGTCCAGTAACTACAGTTTTATCATTGCTAATTTGAGCAACTGCTACTTTTGCATCTTTAGCGCCAAAACTATAATGCATAGCCTTGTGTATATCTTCAGCAGTCAAAAGATTATTACCAGAGTCAACGTAACTCCTTAAAGTTGTCTTTACAACTGCACTCTCCCTGTCACATTGATCTTTTCCACAACAGGGTTCATTATAATCATATCTCAGCAACTTTATATCTCTCTCTTTGCATACATTGTAGATTGCTTCAGCTGAAAGATTTCCCTGATAGCAGCCGGCATTATCAGATTTGGTAAACATTTTCTTGATATCCGGTTGATCAATTCTGAATTGGTCTAAAACTGCAGTGGCTAACGAAACAACATCACCTATTCCCTGATCACACCTATACATTGAAGTAAAGTAAACACGTTTGAATAACTTTCCTGCTATTTTTATGAAGAATATATCCACATGTAAACTCATTCCTTTCTTGCCAAAATACTCTCTTTGGCCCTCTCTGTATCGAACCGGAAGAATTTTTTGACAAAAATCTTTAAGCCAGAAAGCAGTTTCATCGTTTAATTGCTTAAAAGCTTCAATTTTTGCCTTTTTCTGTTGAGAATCTCTCATCAGGTGTTTTATGTAGTTGAATACATCCTTTACAGCAATTTCCAAATCATAAATAGAATCAGCATCGTCAGAATTTTAAATTGTTAGTTCTTTGATCATCTCGATAGCTTTGCACAAATCATAGCGATCGGCACATACCACTTCTGATATGTCTGTGTTGGATTGAAGATTTTTTTCAGATGGATCTGATAAGGCATGTTTTGAGCTATGAGAAGAAATGTTTGAGTCATTGACACTACAATTGGTTTGATAACTTGTTTTCAAATACCTTTTTCCTTTTTCAAGGGCAGCTTTGAGAGATTTAGAACTAAATCTTTGTGCCAATTTTTGTAATGTTTGAAAACCATTCATGTCTAAAGCAGTAACATCATCTAATCCAGCTAAGCTTTTTTGACTTGAAGGTTTTATTGCATGCAATACTTTCCACAAACTTGAATCAGATAATGGTATATAATTGTTTTCACTACAACTTTTTCGATAGAACATGATAGCGTGGCTATATTTTGTCGTCAGTATTGCATGCACTATCTTTTGTTCTTCACCGCTGTCGTATTTTAATTTGGTTATTCCATAAGCAACATCATGCAAAATACCGCTTGTAAATATAAAGTCTAAGAAATGTTCACACTTTGTTTGATCAAGACTAGATCGGACGAATACTTTCTTCTCTGGAAATGCCAACCCTTTATAAGATGCATGCCATTTTCTTGCTGTTTCTATACGATGTTTGGTACACTCAAATGTGTTCATTATAAACTTTTTGGTATACTTGGTATGGTCTAATAATGAGAGGATAACTAACTTTCCCATGGAATCACTTTACTTATACACTTTCTGAGCACGAATAATTTCAATTGGGAGAGAGCTATTTATTTCATCAACATTTTTACTGTTAAGAAAATCTATAAGTATTTCCTCTTGTCCAGGAGCAACAGCTTCCGCAAATTTTTTCTTTAACAAGTTTTCTAGGCGAACATACTTTTTAACTTATCTTTAGTAGTATCTTCCAGATATTCGAACTTCCTTTTTAATCTAAATTTTATTGGACTTGCATTAAGAACCTCAGTTACACTCTCACGGCTTCTTAGAGATTCGTCCAAAATCTCCTGTGAAACATTAATTTCACCGGGATCAAATTCTTCATCTGGAGTAGCAGGTGTCATATATGTTTGTTCTTGTTGTGTTTGTGTTTCTGTAGATAAATTGGTGTTTTCGTTGACTCTAGATAAAGCAGTTTCTTGCTTTAAATGGGTAATACACAGCATTGCACCAACTGAAAATACTTCATTGTATCGCTTTGACATTGATATGACGACATGTATAGGTGACGCCCTTAAAGCGGGAGATTTTTTTCCTTTTATATTTAGATGGTGAGGATGAAAGCATATTTTTGGAGGACTCCATGCAACACCAAACGTGTACCGGTGAAAAGCACATATTTGTTCATCCTTTTCAAGATTTCTTTTAAGTCTATTTGCAATAAGTCCATTTTCTTCCCAAATATTATTATCGTTTAATCGCATGACCTAAAAACAATTTTTTAAACAGTTATTAAGTGTGTCATTTAAAGCATTATTTATAATCTGGCTCTTCACGAAAAATGTTTACAAGTTTGAAATACATTGTTGTTATTATTAAAATACAATATTGCAAGAGTGTGATTAATTTAGTGATTATTTATCAAAAGAGTGAGGAATTAATTAAAAGAGCTATATTTTTTTTTGTTTAAAGAACTTTGTCTCAAAATTTTTTTGCAGAGAAGTTATAAAGTATGTAATTATAAAAATTATATTACAGTCTGCGTAAATTTAAAATACATAATTACCTTTAAGTTGATGAGGTGTTTCTTAACATCAACATCTCCCAGCTGATGAATGTAGAACATTTTGTTTATAATTTTATGTTTTTTGAATGATCCACAATTTCCTTTTGAAAAGCAACAACAGTTTTCATAAAAATATTTGTTTTGTTCCATACTCAACTAAAAACAAGTTCTATTTATGCAGTACCTATTTCTCAATAGCAATGATAAAATATCTACTCTATTTATGCAAATTTTAAAGATCGTTAAAATAAAGTTAAGACATTTTTATGGTAAAGTAAACAACCGCCCACTAACTTGTTTCTCCACAATCGTGATATCAGCGATTCTTCTTCCATTCGATCACCACAAGTTATTTGGTTATGACGTAAATTTAAATAATTCACTTCTGATCATGTATTGTTTTTTATTATTATTTATTTCAATTGTTATGATTTCTATATCATAGTCAGAAACGCTTAAATTTTTTCTTAACATTACGTGCAATGTTTTGTGTAATGCTAATTGCTAATTTTGGATGATAGAAATTTTATTGTGAGCGAAAACCTCATCTGTGTGTCCAAAAAAATATCTCTTCGTACTTAATCATTTTTAACAATTTGTACCTTTATTTTTAACTTAATATCTAAAGATCACATGAGTTTTTTTTAAAACTAAGTTAGGGTCATCTTATATTGACCATTCAACATGATTATATTTTTACAAAACTTAGCGCCTCTGCCGTAATAGCTCATTTTGTAAGTATACTATAACATTTTTTTTCAATTTCAAGCCTTAATATATTAATAGGCCTTAGGTGTCACATAACTTTCTTTGCAATTTTAGACTCAATACCTTTGATAATTTCAAATCCTAAAAGAAAAATTGTGTGCAACACTTCGCCGCTAGAATTAACTCCGATTAAAAATTGACAAAACTGATTGATTTTGTAATTTTGAACTATGATAATTAGCCAACCGCACAGTGTCACGCAACTTTTTTATATTTTTTGGAGAGAGCTTTTGGGTTACGTCTGATATTAACTACAAAAGCTATGTGCAACTTTTTGCCTTGCCAAAAAAATGGGTTCAAAGGTGGCAAAAACTAAGTTTCTAAAAATTTTTAGAAAAATCTCAAAAATTTAAGCCCAGATTCCGAGTGAACGAAACATTTTTTTTTTTCCCTAACAGGTTTTCTCTATATTCTGATCAATATATAAAAAATTCAAGCAATTCGGAAGAGGTCACTTCCATTGACTGCCTGATTCTTACAAAAAATGACTCATAAGCAAAAACATAAATATTAATTTTATTTAAAATGGGATAAACATTATAAAATGGCGGACATATTTAAGTATTAAATATTTATTTTTGGTATTTTAGGATTTCAGCCACTCAACTTTTATTTACAAGAGTAAAAATATTTGAGATTTTATGACATTCAAAGAATAAAAGTAAAATTTAATAGAATTAATGAAGACAATTCCTAATATTTAATCGCACCAAAATAATAATAATTAACTATGCTTATCTCAAGAAATAATAAATATAAGTAATAATCTATAAGTAATAATCTAGAATTAATAATAAAAATTGAAAACTTGGAATATAATATAATTTCAAAGAATAAATAATTATTAGAGAATTTGAATTTAAAAAACTAGAAAGTTCATTTTTATTTTGAAAATATGTAATAATAAAAATAAAAACATATTTAAATTTTTATTTTTCTGGCTTTTTTTGTTGCAAATGTTTTTACAATTTCTTTCAAATTTAATATTGATGATTCTTCGTGTTCTATCGAAATTATTGATAATCCCACATATATTTGGTAGACAGTCAATTAAACGTTGTTCAACTATAAAAGTTAGTACTTCATGTGGTATCATTTGTTGTGGGAAAGTACTTCCAGAAAGTACTTTGATTTCATTACAAAGATCCGCTGCACTAATATCTTTTTGAGAACCATGAGTTAAAATTTCTTCTAGATTTCTACAATTTTTCAATAATTCTGCTGAAGATTTTGAACTTATAGAATAAATATCATAAAGGAAGCCAAACATACTATTATACTGTCGCATTTGTTCAAACCTTTCCGCAATAGACTGTATAGCAGTGTCTAAAATTTTAAAATAAAATTCAACTTTAAATTTTTCTTTTGGATCTTGCAACGTTTTATCTTGTGTTTCATAATCGAACTGTCGCTTTTTTCTCCTTCTCCCGACATGTTTTTCTTCAAAATTTGTTACTGTTTCCAATTCTTTTGCAATTTCAGCAGCATCAACAATAATTCTTTGAAAACCTTCATCATTTCTCATTTTTACAAGTTTGTTTTTAGTAACATTTAATTGTTGTGTAGCTACATTCAAATCAACTTTCTTATTTTGTAATATTTTATTAGAAATATTAACTTCAAAAAGAATGTCGTACCATGAAACAAGGGTAACCATGAACTTGAATATGCAAATAGAATTTGCAAGCCATTTAGCCTCATTTCGGGAAGAATTTCCTACTGATGTAGTTTGTAATCTTGGATCCTCAAATATTTGCATTAAAGCATTGTAAATTTTTCCGAGATTGTATCGTAATGGTTTTAAAGCATTAATGCGGCTTTCCCATCTTGTATCATTTAATGACTTGACAGTAAAATCTGGAAAATAGCTACGAAAAACTTGCCAACGAGAAGGTGATCCCGAAAAATAACTATAAATCTGTTGCACCACACCAAAAAAATTTAAGTTGTGAATGATGCATCTAAGCTACACTTGCATGCATCATTCACAACTAAGTTTAGTAAATGTGCGCTGCATGGAATAAAAAACGCCCGAGGGTTTATATCCAAAATTTTTCTTTGTACCCCTTTCTCCTTACCCTTCATGTTGCTTCCGTTATCGTATCCTTGTCCACGGAGATTTTCAATTGGTAAATTAAAATTTTCCAATTGTTCAATTAATGTTTTTGCCAAAAAACCACCTGTAGATTTCTCCACAGGTATGAATCCTAAGAAATGTTCTTTAATTTTAACTAAATCCCCATCATGCGATGTTGGTGATTCTAAATCAACAAAACGAATTATTATTGTCATTTGTTCTGTATGGCTATTATCTCTGGGGTGCAGTCTAAAATTATGGAATAATATTTAGCAAATTTTACTCTAGTCAAGATATTATCTTTTATAGCATTTGCTAGTATTTGTATTAATTCGTTTTGAATTTATTTTCCAAGATAATGAGCAGTTTTAATTTCTTGATTTTTAATTTTCCGCACATGTTCATTAATTAATGGGTCAAATAAAGCGAGATACTCAACAAATTTTAAAAAATTACCATTGGCGTTATTGTAAAGCTTTTCATTTGTTCCACAAAATGCCAAGTTTTGCGCAGCCAGTACTCTGACTAAGGCAATTAATCTTTCTAAAACTCGTTGCCAATATTGTTCTTTTTCATTAATTTTTTGTTGGTTAATATGATCAATGATTTTTTCTGAAGATAAACGTATATGAAGTTCTTTCCACATTTGAAAATTTACGAGATGTGAATTACTTTTTTCATGAGAAGAAAGAAGTGCTATAATATTCTTCCAATCGTTTAAACCTGAACCTTCTAAGGCCGGCAAACTACTTTTGCTTTTACCAAATAGTTTACAACATAAACAAAAAACTACATTTTTTGAAACTGAATATATAAGCCAAGAACGAGAGACTTCTTCTCCATTTGGTAATGTCCGCTTGTAATAGATTGATGAAAATTTTCTTTTTTGTTCATCTCGATCTCATGGAAAGTTATATTTTTCAATTTGTTGCGTTTTATTTTTTATAACAAATTGTCATTAAAATGAGTAGGCCAATTTGCAGGGCCACTATAGCAGATGATAATATGCTAATTTGAGTTTCAGTTTCAATTTGTCTTGAAATATTAACAGCAGGAGTTGCTTCAGGTAGATAAATTTGGTTTTCATTGATATTTACAACTTCATTTTGTTGATTTGAAATATTAGCATTATTAACAGTTTTATCGTCAACTATCACTTTAGATTTTTTACTCACACCGCTATCGCTTTCAGTAGCAGAATCAGTACCTGTAGAATGTGTTTCTGCACGAAAATATTTCAAAATAGCTTTTCTTTGACTTTCTTTATTTTTCTTTACTGATAGTCTCTTTTTCTCAGACATGGTTAAAAAACGTTAGAAATGTGTAATTATAAAATATTTACTTATTACTTGCTAGCGTACAATAGTAGAATTGAAGTAATACATTACCTTTTCAATCGATAAGAATATTGTCAGTTATATACTTATTATAAATAAAATATAATAGTCAACACTTAACTCTTTCGCTACCGCCGTTTTAACAAAAATCTTTTCGCTGTGACCGCATGTTTTTTTGAATAAAATTTGGATGAAATAACATAAAATACTAATTAAAATTCGAATAGTATATCTTTTTAAAAGCGTAACAATTTGTTAGCTTTGTTCAATTAATATATAGTTTGATACAAACTATATATTAATTGAAAGATAAACAGATGAACTTTTTAATTAAATAAGTTTTTAACACGCATCGTTGAACAGTAAGAAATGCAAGGTACTTAAACCATCGTTTTTATAAATAGTAACAAAAAAATAAAAATAAAATAAATAAAACATAAAGTCCGAAATAAAACTTATTTAATGTATAAAAAGAACGTTTTTCTTGAAAAAAAACATTTGTAATTACTTAGCTAAATACTTACACGCTTCTACAAGTTAAATTTTACAGTGTTAACGCTGCTTTATTTTACTAATTACGAACTAAATTTAAAGAAATTTTTTTTATCAAGGATTACTTGAGATTTTTTAAGTTTGTCAAGTGATAACTAATTATGGTTACACATTATGGCTCATACTTGTACTTGATTATGTAGAGAACTAATTAAACTTTAAGAAAAAACAAATTATGTGTCTAGATTTATGCGCAAAACAGGATAAATTGTGAAGCATACTCGAAAGCCGCTACCAGCGGCTTGCAGTCATAATAAAAAAAAAAAAAATCAAAAGCCGCTATCAGCGGCTTGCGGAGACATTTATTCAAAGAATCAGAGACAGACAGAAGAAGTATCTAGTAATCGTTAACCAAACGCATGCGAATGAATGAAATAACTGATTGAATATGCGGGCGATCGAATGAACATGAGGAACAGCGAACGGATAATATACAACTTTGTTTGTTGTGTTTATAATTTAAAAAGAAAATATTTACTTTATTTGGAAAACGCAACTCAAGTTGTTAATTATTTCTCATTTTATTAATATAAACACAGACGAAAGACAAGAAGCAGGAGTCACTATTTATTTAACATTACAACATTACATGTTGCCTTTGCCTAAAGCCTGCGAGTGATACGCTAATTTGCCTTGCAGTTTATGCTCAATTACTGGGAATGGAAAATTTCTCATCGTTATATATAATTTTTATATTTATTATAAATATATATATATATATATATATATATATATATATATATATATATATATATATATATATATATATATATATATATATATATATATATATATATATATATATATATATATATATATATATATATATATATATATATATATATACAGGCCCGCCCAGAGCTTTTGTGATGCCCGGGTCCAAAAGTTTAATGGATGCCCTATCTTACTTCAGGTCTTAAAATGACAAATACAAAATAAATTAGTATAGTTAGTTTTTGTTTACTTTCATAGAAAATCTGAAACCACATTTAGTAAATTTTGGTTTTTAAAAACAAACTATGGTAAAATCAAGTCTTAATATCGAACGCATCTTTCTGGCCTTCTTATCGGCAAAAATAACTACTTGATAAGAAACGTTATTGGCTAAATCTGATTTAATTGAAAGGATCATCAAGTAGCACAATCGCTTCTGGTCCATTGTGGAATGAAGATAACCTTTAATGATAGTTAACTTATTGAAAGATCTTTCACCTTCAGATGTTTAAACGGGAAATATTTTGAAAATTGTAAGTGAAACACACCCTAGTGAAAATATTGAATGCAATCCCTTTGCATAAACTTCATTTAGATGTTCGGCAGGCTTTTTGCTGCCTAGAATAATTTTTCTTACAGAAAAAAAATAGCAAAACTTCATCAGAAAATTCGTTTTTACATAAGTCTTCTGGGTGATGTTTTGCGAGATTCTCAGCTTTTAAACCTAGTTCTTTGTCTGTTTGAGATTTCTGTAAAGACCAAAGGAAGGAAAACTTGTTACATTCCAATTGTATTACACTAAATCTTGATTTCATTTGAATAGTCAGATTGCCGAGTGCGACATTGAAGACATTAGCCTTGACTGCGACAATTTTTTGTGTCGAACTCAATCTCTTCCAACTCATTCAATATCAACTTTGTTATATCAGATCCTTTCTTCTTTTCAAGTTTTTCTAGTTTAAGGAACCTTTCTTTGACCTCCCACAGATAATTATCACTGAAATGCAAAAAACAAAAAATGAAAGTAATTTGACTGCTGTGTGACAAATCGTCAGTGCTGTATGTGGTGATAGTGAAATATATTGATTTTTTGATTTCTCAAATACCTTCTAAAACCATACTCGATAAACTCATTCTGAAAATTTCAGGACAAGTAATAAACTTGCTACGCCTTTCTTTTTCTTGGTGCTTAGCTATAATCTCTAAGAAATTTCATTCTTAAACACTTTTTGATTGGATCCTAATTGCAAACAAAAAATTATCAAAATAGTAATCCATATTTATATCCAATTATAAATTATAATTTTGATTTTTAAATTATAAATAAAATAATGCAAAATATAATTTAAAATTCAAAAACAATATTCTTAATCCTAAACGCTAAATTCTATTAAGTTAGAAAAATTGTGACATCAAGAATGCATTATAAAATTACTTTCTATCGCTTTGTTTTATCTCTAAAAGAACTTTTTATTACACAAAGTTTGCTTAAGCTTTAAATATGTTATCGTCTAAATTTTTTGTTATTACAATAATTTTTAAAGGCATATGTAATGCCCCATAGACTGTGATGCCCGGGGCAAACTACTTCAATTGCCCCTCCCTCTTGGCGGCCCTGTATATATATATATATATATATTTGTGATAAAAATGTAAATCATTAAACAATTTGACGATTTTCTTAAATCTAAAAGTCAAAAAATTACTTTCTCGATTTCACGCGTATCTCGCGATTTCACGCGTAACGCGGCTATTTGATAACATTTCGCAATGGCTGAATTCAGAGAAATCGCAGCTCAAAATGTTAGATAAATTAATACTTTTAATACATGGGTTCATATTCTATGAATTTATCTGTAAAAACAAAAGCAACAACAATAAATAAAATCAATCCTAATAAAGGATTTATTCATTTTCTGTATTATTTTTACATGATAGAAAACATGGAAAACATATTTTGATGAGTTCATTCCAAATTCGTTAAAAATATAAATGAAATATATAAAAGTTACAAACTTTAGTATTTTTATTAAAATAAATTAAAAAATACCACCACATTATTCTCATTTATATTTAGCAATAAAAATTGAAAAAAAAGTTTAATAAATTAAATTTATTCAGTTTATGTTAAAGACACTTAACAGCATGCTGTTGTGTATGTTAAAGACATTTAACAGCATGCTATAAATAAAGAATATTGCAAGCAATAGTCTTTATTTATAGTTAGATTCTAACTATAGAGTTAAACTATCAGTAAAGAATATTATTGTATATTTAACTTTGTTGTTCAATTTTTACCACTAAATGTAAGTCAGAACCAAATCTATATTAATTGTATAATTACAGAAATTCAATTATATACCTGTATATATATATATATATATATATATATATATATATATATATATATATATATATATATATATATATATATATATATATATATATATATATATATATATATATATATATATGTTTATATATATATATATATATATATATATATATATATATATATATATATATATATATATATATATATATATATATATATATATATATATATATGTTTATTTAAATATGTGTGTGTGTCTATATATATGTGTATATGTGTGTATTATGCATATTAAAAAAAATGTTGAACATTGCAAAAATATTAACACATAATAGTAGGTTTTTATTTGTGTTCATTTTAAAAAAGAAAATTTGTCAATTTTTCTGTATTATATATATATATATATATATATATATATATATATATATATATATATATATATATATATATATATATATATATATATATATATAAACACACACAAACACATGTATATATAATTGAATTTCTGTAATTATTATTATTTTAGATAAAATGTTAAATCATCAAGCAAATAAGTTATTGAACTTTTTGTAAATTATTGTTAATGCTTATAAATTCTGAAGTTTAGTTTAATTTTAATTTTTTTTAAGGAAGTTGTAATGTAAATAAACGAGTTGTTAAGAATGTAAGGATGAAACAAATGTTTATTTTTACTGAGAATGCCACTGGATATGACCAAAACAAGTACAAAATTAGTTGAAAGGTAATATAAAGTAATTATACAATAATATAAAGTAATTATAATATAACTTAATATTATATTAACTTTAACTTAAAGTTATTAAACAAAATTAAAGACAAATTTTAGTTTTGTCTTATTGACAAATATATATATTTTAATTAACCAAAATATAAATGAGTTATTTTTGCGAAGCTAAAATAAATGTAGTTTTTGTTAGTAAATAACTCTTTTTTTCTTTTCTTTTTCTGACTACTATGAAAAGTCAGAGTTCATATTTTTTAATTGATAAAATTAATTGACACATTTGACAAAAATTTTATTTCCTTGTTCCAAAAAGTACTAAAGTACATTTTTTTAATATTCTGTTGCACACAGAAAATATTGCAAACAGGGATCGAAACCATTTTTAAATTGTCAGATTTTTATTACAAAGTTAAAAGATGTTTACATATTCAGAAATGGTTGTTTAAGTTGTGTTGATTATTTGTATATTCATTTTTTAATTTAAACATTTCTTTTCAGGTCCTCTGATACTAGGTTTCTTGACACCATTATTGAACACTTTAATTTAAAGAAATCTGATAAGGTATTTACACAGTTTAAATAGTTGCAATGAAGTATTTATGTAATGTATTTATAATGTAAATTTTACATTACAATTTACAAACTACTTTACAAAAATTGTTACGAAATATTTGCATGTAGTATTATTGTTTTAAAATGTTGTAATCAAAATGTATGGAGTAAATTCAAAAATATTATTGTTTTTAAAAATGAAGTTTATGCATACATGTACTATTAAAATGAATATTTTAATAGTACATGTATGCATAAACTTCATTCAAAATATATAAAATGACACTTTTAACGTTGTTTAGATCTCAAATCATGCTATGTGCATTTATATAGCTTTATATATACATGTATATTTAATCTGATCATATACATAATCTGATCATAACTGATCATATGTCATATATGTCATTTAACTAAGTTGTAGCTTTATTATGTATGTCCTTTGTAAATGACCAAGCATTTAGCCCCAGATTGATCAAGCTTTTTATTGACCTCAGCCCTGGCTAAAAAGTAGTAGTTACATGGAATAACAACATCCATAGGAATTACTTTGTAATACTTTCAGTTAAATACTTTTTTGCTGCCGTAGATACTACTTAATAAGTTATCTTTAAGAAAACTCATCAAGTAAAAATATAGTTTCAAACTCTACTGTTCCTTTCCAATCCGGAGCAGTAGAATTTAAATTTGTATTTTTGTGAAATCCAAGTTTTTTATTAAAAGTAATCTTTTTACTTATAAGTTAATGCATCATTGCATTAATTCTCATTGATTTTTTCCATTCAAAATAGTGATTCTGACTTGGGTACTATTAAAATATATTTAGATAGTATTAAAATAGTCGTAAGTATTTAAATAATTTTAACTAAAGCTTCATTCGTTGCCAAGGTGGTTATATGGTTTTTTGTAATTAAAGATTCTAAAGACTTCTATGATTAACATGGTAATTAGAAAATTTGAGAAATTTATTTTTGAAATGTATGTTGTATTTTGAAAAACAAAAGATTAAAAAACTAAAAGTTAATACTATTATACATAAAGTAGTTGCTAGTAGAGTCTATATCATTAGAGAAACTATGTAACAATAAAGACACCTATTCAAAAAAGCAGATAAAGGTGGTGATGTCTGTATTCTAGATAAGGTACAGTATGAGAATAAAATTAACTATCTTTTAAAAGATGTCATTACTTGTAAACACACACAAAAATGATGTAAATGCTCTTATAGACTATATGATTGTAAATATTCTAAACAATTGCAAATTTTTTATGTGCTGATATACCTTGACGCTGCCCATATATATATATATATATATATATATATATATATATATATATATATATATATATATATATATATATATATATATATATATATATATATATATATATATATATATATATATATATATATATATATATATATATATGACGCTGCCCATATATATATATATATATATATATATATATATATATATATATATATATATATATATATATATATATATATATATATATATATATATATATATATGACGCTGCCCATATATATATATATATATATATATATATATATATATATATATATAAATATATATATATATATATATATATATATGTATATATATATATATATATATATATATATATATATATACTATATAATCTTTTTTAATTTTAATTTGATATATATATATATATATATATATATATATATACATATATAAATATATATTTAATATATAAATATAGTATAAATTTCTTTTATATATATATATATATATATATATATATATATATATATATATATATATATATATATATATATATATATATATATATATATATATATATATATATATGTACAGGTATATATATTTATTACTTAAAGGTTGAGCTTGTCAAAGGTTCGATTTCTGTAGTTTTAAAAGAACAATATGAAAATGAATCAAAGTTGCTGAAGCAGTTTTGGTATGTTTTTTATTAGAAAAATTTTTTAAGTTACTAAATAAATTTTTTATTTTGAATTGCTTTAAATCAATTATATTGACTTAAATTTTTATTTTAATTCATCAATATTTGTTAAAACATATTAGCAATAATTTTTTCTATATAGAATAAATATCCTATCTTGTTTTTTAAATTTGAATAAACAACTCCAAAAATGAATGAAATTTTTCATCTTTTACGCTAGAAGCTGTTACCTTTAACAATTCTTCCATTACTATTTGTCCATTACTATTTTACAATCTAAAGATTTTATAGACTTCCACCATTCTATGGGTGAACTTAATTTGAATATTATTGGTAACAAATTCTAAAACTTTTTATTTGTGAAATTCCTTGCAGCTTTATTTTTTTTAAAGAAACTAAGTTTAAAATACTTAGGTGTGTTTGCAATCAAATAAGTATTACTAACAGTCTGACATTACTGACAGTCTGACATAACTGACAGTCTGACATAACTGACAGTCTGACATAACTGACAGTCTGACATTACTGACAGTCTGACATTACTGACAGTCTGAATAAGTATTACTGACAGTAATATAGATTTAGTTTCTAATTGTTTTTCCTTAAATAGAAATGACTGTTTATAAACTCTTTAAAAGATTTAACATTGTCACTTATTTTTATTTTGAGCTTTTTGCAATTAGAGTTACTGCATTTAACTATTTTCAAAAAATCTTCTGCATTTTAATCTTTATTCATGTTCTATTCTACAAATTGTGGGATCTAAATTACTACTTTGTTAAAAAGTGAATCACAGCATGTTTCAGTAGAAAAGTGTCTTTTTTTTTTTTCTTTCCCTTCTTTATTCAATTTTGTTTTTTTTGCTTTACTTGTTCAATTTTGCTTCTTTGTTTCCTTTGTTCAATTTTGTATCTTTGCTTTCTTTGTAACTCCAGCTTAATGATTGTTTTATATATATTTTATCATTTGTGTAAAATCTTTTCTTGCATACATCTTTAATGTTTACTTGCTAAGAGACTTAGCTCATGAGTAGCACATCCATAATTTTCTCATTGCACATGTCTATGTGTTACAAGTTCTATTTCTTCTCTTGCTTGCTATTGCTTCTACTGCTTCTTGTTAGTTGTATAATATTTAATTGGCCAGAAGTATTGTTTCTAATAAAATGTTTGTTTTTTTTTTGTCTGCTATTACTGAGGCATTAACTCATTATGCACATTATGCCAACTATCTGAAGTTCATTATGCACATTACTCTATGTAAAATTCATTGCTGGAGTTTTCGCATTCAAAAAACCGAAGTTTTTGATTTCTTTTATAAAAGTCTTGTCATTATTTGATTACTTTTATGAAAGTCTTATCATTTTTTGATTTCTTTTACGAAAGTCTTATCATTATTTATTATCTTATAATCATCATTTCTCCTCCAAATTAAGTTTGATTATGTAAAATGTTTCCATGATAACGCATATTAATAATTTTTTTAACTTTATGCACACAATTATTCTTGAACTAGAGTCTACCATTTTGAATATTCAATAAATCTGTCTTAGTGGCTTTTTTGTGTAAAATTTTTTTTTTTGTTTTCAAAAATTTACTATCAGTAAAGTTTTTTAGAATCTATACTGACAAATTTTTTTTAAATTGTTGATTTTTTTCAAGGTTGAAATTTAAATCCGAGCAGTGTTTTAGTTCAAAAGATTCAGAAAGATTTTTACAGGTAAACTTGTTTTTAAAATTAAACAATTTTAATATCAATTAAGTATATTTTTTTATAATAGTTAATTTTTTTTTCACATATAAAAAAATTCTTTTTCTTTGTGTAAAGTTGTGTTTCCACAATTATACAATAATATGATTGCACTAAATCTTTTACATTTAAAAATAGCTGTTTAAACTGTTTATTGGATTTTAAGTTTTTTTTTCCAAATATTGCACATCCATAAGTTTTTTTTTTGGTAAAATAGTAATAATAATAATAATAATAAAAAAAAATGGTAAAATAGTAATATTAATAATGATAAAAAAAAATAGTAATAAAAAAAATGCATAATTCAAAATAATATTAAATTTTTGTATTGTTGTATTTTCCACAATAAAACAATGCATTAAATCCTTTAAATTTAAAAAAAGTTTTTTCACTGAATCTTCTTGATTATTAAATTTTTCACATTTAAAATTAAGTTTTTTTTCACTGAATCCTTAATTATGAACACTGTCTCTTTGTTTATGGACAAGTATGATTTGTTTGAAATATTTTTCTAGTTTTTTTGCTTTTAAACTGCTTAAGCTTTACACTCTTTACATCAACTTTTTTTTACCTTAAGGTTTTAGAAATCTCTATTTTTAGTCACAGAATATGTAATTTAAAACTTTTCTCACATTGGTATTATCTCACTTATCTCACTTATGTACTTATCTCACTTATCTCACATAGGTATTATCTCACTTATTTCACTTATGTTCTTATCTCACTTATCTGACATACTTTTAGAATGTAAGAAGATTTTAAAGATTAAAGAGATAAATGAAAATGTTTGAGTAGCAATTTCTTGGAAATTCTTTAGAGCTTATAAATTACTCTGTTACCGTAAGTAGAAGTTACCAAGGTTACCTTATCTTTTCTCTAGGCTCTCTGGTTAAAAAAAAAAAATTTGTAACACTTAGGTGAAACTAACTTTTGTAATTTTTTTACTGTTTTTAGCTTTTTCTTTTAGAAAAACAATTTTTTCCTCTTCTATCAAGAATTTATTTTCCTCGTTTTTTTAAAATGTTTTTAGGAAATTTTACTAAAATAAGCTGAAGTTAAGTTGAAGTAAATAATTCAAAAATGTTTTATTTTATAAAAGTATTTTATAAATAATTTACCTAAAAGTTAGTTAATAACTAATAAAAATAAAAAAAATAAAAATAAAAGTGTAATTAAAATATAACAAATAAAAAAGTAACAACATTGATTAGAAGGTTATTTATAAAAATAATTCTTTTAGTTGTGCAAACAAATGAACTATTTTAATCTATTAAGTGTTAAATTCTGTTGTTTCTCTTCAATCAACTCTTCTTAGCAATTTATATGAGAATTTCCCATGCAAAACCAATGTCTAAGGAAATCGTACTATTGTTATTGGTAATATTCGTCCTATGAGCAAATGGATGATAGTTTAAAGAATATTTTTGTGTAGTATTTTTTATATATCTTAATGATATAAATAAATCTTAAACCTGCAACATTAAAAATTACTTTATTTTTTATTCTAAAATAAATTCAAGAAGGAAAACAAGTTTAGCATGGAAAAATTTCATAATTGAAGCAAACAATCCAAGAATGGTTCGGTGCAAAACAATGCAATGTTTTAATAAATAGTTCAAAGTTTCATTAGAATCAGACGACCCTAAAAAACAAGGGTTTAAGTATACAACTGAATCATTATCCTGACATCAAACTTATACCAGAAAGTTTAGAAAATTCAAATGCCAATGAAGAATCTTAATTGAATTCAAACAAAAGAAAATCAGTTCTATTCTTTAATATACAATCAAAAAAACAAAGAAATAGCATCTTAAAATCTACAAACTGGGATTAAGCTCCTTTAAAAATTGACTCTTTAAAAGATTCTGAAAAAGGTCAAAATTTCCTAAGTCAATGTTTGAAATGATGGTTCTTGACCTCTAAACATAGCCTATTATCAATAATGCTGGGTTTTTGACCTCTAACCACTGACTATTATCATTAATGCTGGGTTTTTGACCTCTAATCATGGCCTTTTATCAATAATGCCGGGTTTTTGACCTCTAACCATGGCCTATTATCAATAATGCTGGGTTTTTGACTTCTAACCATGGTCTATCTTGAAAATGATTTGGCTCCTGCAATTCTATCTGACGACAATTAAAAAAAAAAAAATTATTTTTGCACATAATGTCAAAAATTATTGTGCAATTTAAAAGCTCAATCAGAAACAAATGAATGTTTATATTTCAAAATGGTGCAAGAAGTGTTTAATGATTTTTTGGATTGTCCAATGGCTTCTTAATGCCTTGAGATTTAGGAAATCTATAAAGAAAATGCAAATACCAAAATCAGGTATTTTGACTAAGATGGAATAAAAGTACCTTACACCACACCCAACATTCACAGATGTTGAAGAACTGTTTTCTACAGCTGAAGATATTCGCTCAAACAAAAGAAACAAATTCCTCTAGAAAATTTACCAAAACTTCTTTTTTGTTGAAAAAATCTTCCAGTTTTTAAATTCTGTTATTAGTCATTTTTATTAACTTAAGGTTTTGTTTAAATTTTTGTTTAAATTTAAAGGTCAAGAACCATCATTTCAAACATTGACTTGGGAAATTTTGACCTTTTTCAGAATCTTTTAAAGAGTCAATTTTTAAAGAAGCTTAAACCCAGTTTGTAGATTTTAAGATGCTATTTCTTTGTTTTTTTGATTGTATATTAAAGAATAGAACTGATTTTCTTTTGTTTGAATTCAATTAAGATTCTTCATTAGCATTTGAACCTAGTTTTTGAACCTTCTCTAGAAGAGAAAGAAAAACATTATTTAACAAAATATGACAACAGTATTCCATACAGGAGCAAATAAGAGATTTGTATTGTAGAGAACGGAATCAGGAGTAAGAAAATGGTGAGCACAATAAAAAGAATCTTAACAGATGCTATCTTTGCAATCGATTGTATATGTGGTTTCCATGAATGATGGTTTTCATAAGAGGATAATAGTGAATGATGATCCAAGAAGATGCTTAGTGAAGGACTCATTGAGAGAGTTGTCATTAATAAAGTCAAAGAAGAACAATAAAGAACAATGAGTAAGGTGATAGAGTGAAGAAGTGCTAAACAGAAGCGCCTAAAGAATGGTGAAAGAGGTAAGATTCAATGGATTGCTTCGCAGACCACGAATATTAGTAAAAAAAATATTAAAACAGTTAGGTGGTGGGGATGGTTTTTTATGTTTAATATTTTGGGTTACTTTTGACATGTTTTAAGTTTAAAGAGAACTTGACTCATTCATAGATAGAGCACGGCCTACTAAGCATTAAACTATGCAATTTTCTTAGTCCTGTTAATTAACTCTAAGTTGTAACATATGGCTTCTTATGTAGCCTTGACAATGCACAACAAAAGCACTAACAGGGAAACCATCTATGTGTAACATGGCATTGTTAATACTCTGGTATTTTACAACTGTTGATGCAATCAGGTTTTCTGAGAGCTACCACAGAGTTTGATAAACCTTACTACCAGCTGGCCTCAGAACCATTTAACTAAGTTTTAGAGCTGTATACTCATTAGGAGATATCCGGAACAGTTGGATAGCCACTATCACAAAGCAAAATCTATGAGTAGAGTCAAGAGGATCTTTTTACCTATATTAAACACAAATATTTATATTAACCTGCAGATTTTAGTCTACACATACCTTGCAGGTTTATACATACATGCATTCCTAAAACGATTTTTTTGTATAATAACCATGCTGCCCTATAAATTTTACTTATTAAAAAATAAAAGTTATAATGTACAAAATTAATCGTCTAAAAAACTATAAAAACATTTTCCTAATAATTTTGATAACTAATAATAACTAACAACTTAGAATAAAAAAAAACTTAAATGATATAATATAGAGTAAAATGGGGTAAATTTATATTATACATATAATATATTATATGTTTTTAACATATCTTGCTTACAAGAAATTTACACCAGTTAAAAACATTATTAATGAATGTATACCTTTCTGTGAAATATGTTTTGCGTATATTAATGGTTTTTATATATAGTATTACTTACTTCAGAGAAAATGTTTAAACGTGGACCATTAAATTGTTATATGCAAAAAAGTATTTTTATTTTTGTTATATAGACTACAAAAATTACATATAAAAGAAAATAATACAAGACCATAAAATATATATATATATATATATATATATATATATATATATATATATATATATATATATATATATATATATATATATATATATACATACAGTATTTAAAATTATTACAATAAATATAAATATAATAATGTTATAAAAGATATATATTTTTTTGTAATTCACCTCCCCAAGGCCGAGAAGGTCATTACAGATGAGGAGGCTACTTGTGATTATAACTCTCAACTCTATAACTCCAAAACAAGAGCCTTGACAAACAAGGCTGTTGCACGGAGAAACAAGTTGTATATATACAAAATAAATAGTATTAAACTATAAAAAGTTCTAATTTTATCAAATTTAAACCAAAAAATAAATTATTGTTTATTAATATTAACTCAAATCATCCACCCCAAGTTCTAAAATAAATCTCGATTTCAATTAATAACAGGCTAAACCAAAACTCCTCTAATGAAAATGTATTCAAAATGTTCCCACTAACATAGGAAAAGTGTTTATTTCAAATTGGTTGATAAGCATTTCCCCCACTTTAATAAAAACATTAAATTTTTAATTGAATTACAATTAAAGTTAGCTACAGCTGACACAAAATATGGAAAGAATTATAAAAGGCCACAATAATGCTTTGTTAAGCAAAAAAGAAATTCTAAATGAAAATATGACAAAATTTTGTAATTGTAAACAAAAAAAACAACTGTCCCATGAGTGGAAATTGTATATCATAAAATGTGGTTTATAAATATGTGTTGCTTCCTCTAAGAATGTACCTGGTAATATATTGGCTTAACAGAGGATGAAAGGAAAAAATGTTTTGCTAATCATGAGCAATCCTTTCAAAATAAAAGGTATTCAAAAGACACTATGTTGTCAAAATACATATGGGAATTAAAAGATAAAAACATTGATGATTTTATACTGAAAACAGCACCTGCATATGACAATATTTCCAAAAAATGCATACTATGCCTACAAGAAAAATTTGAAATAATTACACATGCGAACCAAGAATGTTTATTAAATAAAAAATCGGAATTGATTTCTAAATGCAGGCACGAAAACAAGTTTCTCCTAAAGAACTATAAAAATAAGTGAGCCCAAATAATAGTTTTAAATCCCCTCTTTTATAATGTAATCAATTTTAAAGAATTCTTATTATAATAGCATATTCTACAAATGTGTGAAATTTACAGTAGTTATGTAGTTACAGTAGTTACGTAGTTACAGTAGTTAAGACTCTTACGATTTCCTATAATTTAATTTTTTTTAAATTAAAAAAAAAAAATTATTTTTTTGTTTTCTAGCCTTAATATATAATATTTATATTTATATAGAAATTAAGGCTATAAAACATATAAAGAATATTTTTAAGATTTAAGTTTACATTTGTCATAGTTTAAAAAATTTTAAATTAGTTTTAATATATATATAATAAATAACAATAGATTAATTTTGTATTTAGATATTTCGATGTTTACTTAAATCATGTTTTTCTAAAAGGTAATATTTTTTCATTAATAATACTAATTATTTTAATTTTAAAAAAAGTTAAAAGTTTCAGTTTTATAATATAAAAATATTTATGTATTAAAATTATTTATGTACTAAAAATAAAAAGTTTAATAAACAGTATAAAATGCCGCCCACAAGTAAAAATTTGACAAAGCTAAGTATGAACAATAACTAAAATAACAATAAACTAAAAATTTCCTTCAAAAATTGTTTTTTATTTTAGTTTATTTAAAACTTGTACTTAATAAAGATATTCTTAGATTTGTACTTAATAAAATGATATTTTTATTATAATGAAGATCATAAAAGACTTAAAATACTCAAATTAATTAAGAAACATTAAAAAATTTTGATGTTTCTTAATTAATTTATTTCGCATAAATTTTTTTCTTTCTTACATTATATAAAAAAGACAATCAATAATTAGTGTTTGCATTAAATGCAAAATTAGAAAACATGGATAGAAAATTATACCAAAATTTTATAAAAATCATATTCAATATGGATATTCACTGTTAGATATTATTTGAACTAGGGAGTCCCACACAGAACATTACATGGTATACTTCAAAAATACAAAGAATTTAATACAGCAAATTGCTAGTCAGGAAATGGTTACAAAACTGATAAAGTGTCTGTTGCACAGATAGCAGTCATTGTAAAAACTGACATTGATAAAAATAGAGTCAAAGAAATAAGTTGCTCTATCAACAATGTCAAGGTCTTTTAAGAAATATAAAGTTACTTGATAAAAATATGAAGAAGGCCAGTTAACTACTCAAAATCAAATATCAAGAGTAAAACGGAACTCAGTTGGCAATGTGATTGATGATGAATATTTCAACCTGAAATTAGATTTAATCCCAGGAAAAAATCATTTTTTTAAACAATGACAAAGCCAATATGAGGTTAGATTTCAGTGTAGTAAAAAGTATCTAATAAAGCTGATAGCAAGTTTGATTGTCAGTGAAAATGGTGTTATGTAGCCATTTTCAATGTGAATTTTTTGCAAAATTATTAAAAAGAACTTTTTATCAATTGTTATCATTATGATAATAACAATATTATTTGGCATCTGCTTACACATGGTATGAAACATAAAGCTGGCTTACACCAGCCTCGCTGATTCAAAATTCTGTTTGTGACTAAAATTGACAATCCATCAAAATTGCAATTTTGATTTGAATCGATCAAACAGTCACTAATTCTGATAACAATTGAAAAATTGAATAAAAACGATTTTTGCTAACTTTTGTTAAATTTATAAAAAGTTTGAAAATTTGGATACTACTACATTTTGGATAATATGGATTGGGATGATGAATGATGATATGGATTGGGATTGGAAAATTTGGACACTACTACGCTACTTGGCAAAGTTTTGTGTTTTTAAATGTTTCTATGTTTTTTTTATCAATGCATGTTTTAGATGATTGTTAAAATTGAAGTCAACCTGTTTTTTATAGAAATTTATGCTAATTTTTATCCAACACTGGTTATTCTTTTTATATTTTATGTAAAATAATTTGCTTTTTTAAAAAATAAATTTAATTGTATTATTTTAGTGTTTGCAAAGTTCCTTTAGAAAATATTTATCGCACTTTTCAATGTTTTAAATTATTATTGAGAGACAGTTGTTTTCAGGTACTTATGTTTATAGTTTTTTGATATTTCTTTTATTATTATTTTTTTATTTCATTTTTTTATTAATTCATTTTATTTCAGAATGAGTTTGTAGCAAGTAATGGATTGCTTCAGTTAAATGAGGTATGATGCACACAGTACTAAATATAGATTAAAAAAGATGATTAAAAAAGTTAAGACAATGTATATAGTTAGCTGATTATAATATTTACATATAAAAGTTATATATAAAAACAATAATAAATAAAAATATTTAAAAACATTTATTGTGTATTGTCATGTGTGAGTGTTTTTGCGTGTGTGCATGTGTGTATATATACAAATTTAAGTTAATTTCAGTTTACTTTTTATGTTTTAGTATTTAAAGATATACAGTGAAAAACATATACAATTTAGAAGTGATGGTTCCTCAACTAGAATTCTTAAAGAAATTATTAGTAGGTTTTTTTTTTACCAAGATTTAATATTATAAAATTTGTATATAAAAGTGCATAAAAATGCCTAAATGTATATACAGTGTCTCAAAAAATTCTCTGACCAAACATTTTTAAAAATATTTTTCTTAAAAAAAGTATTTTTGTAAATTTCAACTTTTTTGATAAACTCAAGATTAATAAAAGAACATGTTTTTAAATTTTATTTATTTTTAAATAGTTAAATATGTTTTTAAATAGATTTTATTTATTTTAGTGTAAAATATGAATCACAAAGTTTTCAGTCTTAAAATAAAGGAACTTAGGTTGTTTTTTTATTGTCAAAAAAATATTTGACCAAACATATTTTTTGTTCCATAATAAATTATTAAATAACAAAACAATTATTTTAATACTTTGTTGGGCTTCCCTTTAGTTGAATTACAGCTTCTAGACGTCTAGGTATTGGTTCGACTAAAGATTTTGTTTCTTCTAGTTGAATCTTTTCCCAGGCTTCTTTAATTGCCTTTTTGAGATTTTTCTTTGGAAAGAATCTTTTTTGGAAAATGACCGATCTCCAATTTTTCGGCCTAAAACTTCCCACAAATATTCAATGGGATTAAGGTCCAGTGATTGTGCGGGCCATTCCTAGACCTCAACATTATTTTCTGCAAAGCACTCCTTGGTTTTAGTGGCACTATGCTTGGGATCATTATCTTGCTGAAATGTAAAATCAGGTCCTAGCCAAAGTTTTTGAGTAGATGACTTCAAATTTTGCTTTAAAATGTTTTTGTATTGCACTTGATCCATTATGGTATCAATAAATTGGAGTTTTCCTACACCCTTTCAGCCATTGAACCCCATATCATCACGTTACCGCCACCATACTTGACAGTTCCTCTCACGCAGCTTAATTTGTAGGCTTCTCTGGCTTTACTCCAAACTTTTTGGGCTCCATCAGATGAATTAAGTTGAATTTTGATTCGTTGCTCCGCAGGATCTTTTACCTGAAACTTTAATGGCATGTTTTTGAACTACTTAGCAAACTCCAAACTTCTTTTCTTATGTGTTTCTTACTCAAATATGGTTATTACGCACAAGTCATCCTTGAAATCCCTGGTCTCGGATACGATTTCTGATTGTCTGATGAAATAATTTGATTCCATAATTCTCTTCAGCTTGTTCAGCCAGTTTTCGAGCAGAATGCGATTTTTCTTGACTTGTATAATTGAGTTTCTATCAAAACTCTTATCAAAAGTCTTTTTTTTGCGACCCTATCCTTCTTTTGTGGCTGTTTTTCCGATCAAATTATACTTCTTCATTATCTCAGATACTATATTATGAAGATTTCCAGTCTCATGCTGCACTTAGAATAGGTTTTACCCTGATTGACTAGATCGACAGCTAAGTTTCTCTGAGAAACAGATTAGTGATGTTTACCTCCAACCATTTTACTTAAAAAAACATGAAACCTTTTTTTTATACAAAACTTTTTTTTTACTACAAAAAAACAGTTATTTGTTATGCAATTTCATTAATTGTATAAAAATTTGTTAAAATATTTTAACAAATTTTACATAAAGTTAATAAAACTTACCTAAATATCGCTTAGTCTGATAATTTTCTTACAAGCCTATTCAATACTTAGATTCTTTTAGGACAAATAATAAACCAACTGAAGCATGAATCAAAAAATATAATTGATAAATAACATACTATTCCCAATAGAATTAAAATGACAGACAAAGTAAGTATCACTTCATTGTTTTTAGTATAATTTAGAGCATAAACATTTTTTTTTGTAAAAAACTTGTTTGGTCGGATAATTTTTTGAGACACTGTAAAAGTAATGTTTAAATTGAATCATTAAGGGTATTGTTTCTGAATTGAGTTCAAATCTAAAAAATATCAACTGAATCAGTGGAAAAACACTCAAAGTGTTAATAATTTCAAAATTAATTTCTCATAATTAATTTGTTTGAAGATAGTAAGATAAACACCTTTTCTTATTTCCTCAATACTTGTTTTGGTGGTACTATCAGAGCATGCTGCAGAGATTTGTTAACTTGTAGGAGTATATCTTCTTTTAATAATTTCACATTTTTATGGCAAATTTGGCTTTGGTTTATACTGTGAGGATAGATGATTTTTAAAAACATTAGCAATCTCTAGATGGAGAAAATTTAAAGTATATTGGTATTCATTTAAGTGTAACAATCTGAGAATATCTATACAGTGCTGCCTAAAAATTACCTTAATATCAACTTGGTGCAACTCTAAATTTGCAACCATTCAGTTAGCAATCATACTGAAATAGTACAAAACTTATATAGCGTATTTGTTCTTAAAAACTATATATATGCACTAAATAACCTCTAGTTTAATTCTAAAACAAATGCCTCACTCTAATGAACTGAGGTTATCTGGAAATTTATAATTTGGTTGATATATATTAATTTGGGTTGGGTAACTTTAATTTTTTTTTTTTTTTTTTTTTTTTGTCGAAAAACTGTATGGATTTAAGTTGACAAATAAGTTGGTAAATGTATGTCTATATGTGCTAAAGTATTAATCTGTATATATATATATATATATATATATATATATATATATATATATATATTTATATATATATATATATATATATCAACCCTCGGAATTAGGAAAAATGAGGTCGGCAATAATTTGCCGACATCAATCTTTTAGAGGTCAGCATCAGGTCGGAAAAAAAAAATTCGTACATAGGTCTTACCATAAAACATAGAAATGAGGTCAGCAATTTTTTGCGGACTTCAAACACTTTATGTCGGCAGTTAGGTCAGCATTGCTGAATACCGACCCTCATTCCGAGGGTTGATCTATATATATATATTTATTTTTATTTATTATTATATATATATATATATATATATATATATATATATATATATATATATATATATATATATATATATATATATGTATATACATGTAGTGGCACTCCTTTGCAACAACAGGCTTTAAGATAGTCTATGTATGTACTGAAGCCCTGGGCAGAAGGCTATTTTAGTATGAGGTCACACTGCTTATCTAAACACTCATTTATAGTTATATATAATTTTATTAAAAATTCTAAAATATTTAAAACTTACTTAGTAAATAATTTTTTAATTTAAAATTTAGTTTATAATACAATTTATAATTTATAAAATGTTTTAAATTTAGGTATCTGCCAAAAGTTTGCATCAGAGCAAAGCAGTAAAATGATTTCTTATGGAATGCATCAAGTAAAAATTATTTTGAATAAAATTTTTTGATATTTTACAAGATATTTGATACTTTGTTGAAAGGGTAACATTCAATCTATTACATATGGTTATAAGTAATAATGGTGGTAGTAGAAATATTGATGGTTAGATGTGTGTTGAGGGGGAAGCGGGTTTTATTTTTATAGTTTTTTGATGTCTTGCAATTTATGCAAAAATATTGTTTAACAAGTGTTAAACTTATAAATGTTTAACTTTTTTTCATTTTATAGAAAAAAAAGGATTATTTAAATACGCAAAAGGTCACATAAATACTAGGGTTGATCTAATTAGGTAGAAGGTCACATAAATACTGGGGTTGATCTAATTAGATAGAAGGTCACACGAATAACATAAATTATGTAGAAGGTCACATAAATAACATTAAGGTTATGTAAATTATGTTAAAGCTCACATAAAAAACCTTTTTTTATTTGAAACACTCTCTTAACCCTAACTCTGAAATACAAACTTTGTTAAACAAGAAACCTCTGTGAAGACTGCACAATAAATCACTTAAATAAACCACTGCACAATAAATCTGGTTGCAGGCAGTATTTTCAGAGGCATAGGGTAGAATTTAAACCATAAACCTTTTAATTGTGACTTAACTATTACCACTAGTCTACTACCTATGTGAGGTTCATTTTAAAGGTTGGTAATTTATTTTTGACATTAATGTGTTGCATACAACAATTAGTTGTATCAAACATCAGTTCCCAGGCACTTATTTAGAGATTAAATAAGGGATTGTCCATAAATTACGCAGCGCAAAATTTCACTAGTAAGCAAAACAAAAAAGATCAAAGATTTCTTCTTGCACATACAAAAAAATAGCCCATTAAGGTTAATGAAATTGCCACGTAAAAGAGCTCAAGATCTCCTACTTCTGTTTTTTAAATATATTTTGTGTTGTGTAATTTATAGACGATCCCTAAGCTAAAAAGAAGTATAAAAAACTTTTTTCACTTATCCTCCAATTTCTTGCTCTTTTTTTTTTTCTGTTCAATTAAAACTTATAATTGTTTTATTAGATACAACAAACTTTATGAAAATTATAAACTTTATGAAAATTTGGTAAAAAAGATTATTAATAGCTTTTTAGCAAATAATTTAATTATATTAAACAAAGGTTTTTTTTTAAAGTTCTACTTATATCCAAATACCTAATTCTTCAAATTAAGAAAGAGTCAAAAAAATATTTTAAAATTTGCCTATTTTTTCACCTTCTTGTTTTTATTTTTTTCACTTTTCGTCCCTGTATTATTTTCTCAGAAATTCTGATTTTAGCAATATAATGTAATATACATTATTAATTTTTTTTTTTATGATTACGTTTTTTTATGCAATTTTATTAGAATTTATAATTTTATAATTGCATATTTTAATGCAATTTTAATGCAATTTATAATTTTGTATAATTTAATTAAATATTTTTATAAAACAAGAGAATTTTTGAATGAAAACAGAAGATTTTAATTTTTATTCAATAAGTTAGTGATTATAAAGAAAAGTTACAAATATGATTTCTAAAACTTTTTTTAATTATTTTGAAACCTTTTAATTCAAGCTCTGCAGTGGTAGAAGAAACAAGATGTTGGTATGGGAATATTTATAAACTCATAGAATGTTTAAAAAATAAATCTTAATTATTAATATAATAAAATTAACCCTTATTTGCTTTTTTTTTATACAATAAATTTTTTATTACATAATATTCATAATATGTAATGTTTATGGTTTTTAATTTAATGGTGTACTATAATAGATAGGTTCAACAGTTTCATTACATTCTTTGTCGATTTGTAAACATTTATTTTGGGGTGTTGATAAAGAAAAAGATGGTATTCCATATGCATAACTATATTCATTAGATTCTGTCATGTTTTCATTTAAAGTAAAATCGTCTTCCAAAACTTGATAATCAGGTTCTAATGTCTTGTACTCAACTGTTTCAACACTTGTGGCTGATTCATAATGTTTGGCTTCATTATTGACCTAAAGAAAAATTGAAACTGAGTTTAAATTTTTCTTTGCCTCTAGTAAAATAAGTAATAAAATAAATTTAATAAAATAAAATTTTTAAAATAATTATCAACTAAATAAGTGTTTTATTAAAATTAAATTAAATTTTTTTTTCCATCTTAGATGTGAGAATTTATGGGAGATTGTTAGTTTAAATTAAAAACAGTATAGGGTAACAGGGTAGACCTTGAGGAACCCCTGATGTTACAGTATATAAAGAAGAGTGCTGTCCATCCAATATAACTTTTATGCTAGGATTGGTAAGGAAGGTTTCAATAATCTTAAAGATGTTACCAGATACAACTTAAGAAAAAAGCTTATGGAGAAGACCACCATGCTAAACTTTATTAAAAGCTTTTGAAATGTCAAGAACAATAGCCTTAGCCTCTCTGCATCTATCTAATACACAATAAAACCTCTGTTATTATGGTTAACGAATCAGCAGTAGAATGAGAAGATCGAAATCCATATTGATGATCAGAAAGTTATTAGATTCAAGATGAGAGATTAAGTGTTTGTTAATTAAAGACTCAAAAACCTTGCTTATGATAGAAAAAAGACTAATGGGACGTTAATTAGACGAGTCAGATGGCTCTTCAAAATTTTTGAAAATAAGGTTAACAGATGCTGCTTTCCAGCAGGCTAAAAAAAAAGACTCTAATAAGCACTTGTTAGATAGTTTTGAAAGTATAGACGACAGCCTTATAGGTGAGATGACAAAATCTGAACCATACAAGAGAGGTGGAATAATAGGTTTACCCTTGTTATAGATACTGTTAAAGGTTCTTCAGAAGTCATGAGAGCCTAATTTTTGAGATAAAATATGAGATTTTGTGAACTGAGAATAGCAGGCTTTAGCGTTGAACAAAACCTTTTTACAATAGTTTTTAACAGTAGTAAACAGATGTCTGTTTTTTGGAGAGTTGTTTTGCTGATAGACTTGAAAGTAATGGTTTCAATTGGAAATTGTAGCAGCACAATAAGAGGAAAACCATAAAGAAGAGCAAGGCTTGACTTGAAATCGTCCAGAGGGAACAAAGGATTCCATATTCCAATGTGTTAGTAATAAAAATAACAAATATGTTCTTTATGAAACAAAAGACTTTTTAAAGAAATGATAAATTTTTTCTTAATCTAATAAAACTTTATGTTTTTAATGAAATTGTGAAGGGTTTTAAAATAAATAATTTGAAAAATATTTTTTGGGTTTGCTTAACCCATCATGATACAGAAGTAATTTTTGGCAGCCTTTTGGGACTCAAATTCAATACGTTTTATTAGTAATACGTTTCAAATACTCTGATTACGGAATTTAATTTTTTTTTAATTGAACCTTACTTCCTTATCATAAATGGTGTTGATAAATTTTTGTTTACAAATTAATGATTTGCAAAATGTTTTGGAAACAAATTGAGGTGCGTAAAAAAGTTGTGAAATTTTTTGCAAAAATCCATCGACTTGACCTATCGCTTGATTGCTAAATGCACAAATGTCCCAAAATCTACAGTTATAGATATTATAAACAAGTTCAAGACTACTCAAAGCTTCGAAACAAAACTTGGAAGTGGAAGAAAAAAAAGTTTCCATAAATCCAAAAAGTTAAAGGTGATTTTACGTTCAATAGCAAGAAATCTAAACCAGTCACAGCGAGATCTAGCAAAAAAATCCAAGACTTCTCGTTCTAATATCAAAAAAGTACTAAAAAATGCTGGAATTAAAGCATTTCATAAAAAAAATACTAATAGAAGCTTAAATTGTGAAATTAAAGGAATTCGATGCGCAAAGAAGTTGGTTAAAATAATGGTGGATAAAAATATGTGCATAATTGAAGACAACGAAACATATTGCAAGGCAGATTTTTCACAACTTCCTGGTCAACAGTTTTACTATGAAAACAAAGATAAACCTGTCGATGATCAATTTAAATATATTCGACAAGAAAAATTTGCATCCAAGTTTCTTGTGTGGCAAGCAATTTGTAGCTGTGGTATGCAGTCCTCTTGTTTTGTCACTAAAAAGACCTTGACTGCCAATCTCTACATCAAAGAATGCCTCCAAAAAAAACTTTTGCCTTTTATAAAAAAACACAAATACCGATGTCACTTTTGGCCCAATCTTGCTGCCTCTCATTATTCTAAAAAAGTTCTACAGTGGTGCAAAGATAATAATGTGAAAATTGTTCCTAAAGATGCGAATCCTCCAAATTGTCCTGAAGAGCGCAAGATTGAAGATTTTTGGGCAATAGTTAAAGGAGTTCTTCGTAAGACAGGTGGAGTAACAAATAATAAAAAGGACTTCCAAAAAAAGTGGATTTATGCCACCAATATTGTGAAAAAAGAAAAATTCTGTGAAATGATGGCTTTTGACTGGATTTTTCTGTCCACCCGATAACAACCAGAGAAACTTGTTTTATTATAATTATTATTTTTTTTTTTCAAAATATTAATAAAAAAAATTATTGACAGGTTTTATCTTTAATTATGTAAAGTAATTATGTAATTATGTGTTAAGGGTAGTTAAAGTTTATAAAGATTACCTTCGCTTCTTCATTTAATAACTTTTTTTGTTGCAAGTTTTTTCTAAAAATGAGTTTAATAAATTTAACACCATAAAAAGTTTTTTGAGAAAAAATTAAAACTCTGTTTATGTTACCTGACTAGAAAAATTACACTCGTAACAATAGAAATTGATATGAATACAAGACTGCTTGTTATTATTATTTTTCTTGTGTTGTATTTTTGATTTTCTATTTTTGAAAAACAAACTTCAATTGTTGAGTTTAGTGAAAAATTGCCCAATGGATCTAAGATAGGAAATAACAACAATAATAATTTTGCATATAAACATTTCTATTAGGGAAATAAAAAAATCAGAAAGAAAAATTTATCTGTTTTGGATTTTGTAAAAAGAGTTTCAACTTAATGTTATGAAATTTATATTCTAATAAACCTAATTACAATAAAATAAACAAATAAAAAATTATAGATGAGTGAGTTATGTGATAGTAAAGTTAATAAAAAATTATTTTCTAAAATTTTTGAATTTAAAGCCTATAACCTTTTTGGGGCCTGGTTCTACTTTTAGGTATGTTAAACCTAGATATGTTGCATAAGAACATTGGTAAAAATCATTGATAAATGTTATTTACTTTTACGTATTCTATGTTCTATTTTGACTTAGAGTCTGAATAGGTTTTTCTTTAAATTAAAAGACAACAAATCTACAAGCCCTATTAAGGTAGGAGTTATATATAGGAAAAAATAAACAATAATGCTTAATAGTGTTAAAAAGCAAAGAAACAGTTGGTGGAAGATGTGAAAAGTTGTTGTATGATAGAGGAAAGCATCAAGATGGAAGAGAGTTTTTAAGGGAAATACAAATACAGTAAAAGAATGCAACATTGTTTAATGACAAATCAAGGGAGAATGAGTTTTGGTTGATAGAACTAGAGATGATAGCTCATTTGAGTTGAAAAGAGAAAGAGATGCAACCTTACAGCAATGGGAGAGTGGCTCAAGCTTTGCAGATAAAACAGTCCCAACTACATTAACATTGAATTTTTGGACCTTTTCTAGAAGAAAAAGAGCATCATTAGAAGAACCAGCCCAAATATGACAATAGTATTCTATACATGGTTGAATAAGAGATTTGTAGAGGTAGAGAATGGAATCAGGTGTAAGATAATGGCAAGCACGATAAAAAGAAGCAACCATACATTTGATATACAATAGGATGTCTCAATTACAAGTCAGTCATAGAATAAGGAGATCAAAATCTGTATTAATAGTCAAAAAGTAAACTATTAGACTTAAGAAAAAATGTTAGAAATTTGTTGATTAAAGTCTCAATGACCATGCTAATAATAGAGAGAAGACTGGTTGGATGATAGCTAGAGGATTAGACAATAGTTAGAGGGGTCAGAGTGTTCTCCAGAGTTTTTGAAAATTGGAACTATATCCATTACCAGCAGGCAGGAAAGCTAATTGAGTCAAGTACTTGAATTAATTAAATAGTTTAAAGAGAGTTCTGGACAACACTTTTGTTGACAAGAACGTTATCTGAATCATAAGCTGTAGGCCAGTTGAAAAATGATTTTACTATCAGAAACTGCAGTGATTTGGATGTCTAACTATGGGTCAACATGTTTAACTGAAATGGCAGGAGAAGTATAAGGATTTTTGTCGAATTAAAAAAAATATTCTTTGCAAATAGTTCGGTCTAAACTTTGGGAGAAGTAAGTCTGGTGAATTTTATAAGAGGTAAGATTTAACTGATGAAATGTTACTTAGACCCTTTATGAATATTTGTAAAAGATATATTGAAACAGATGATATTTTTTTTTGTTTAATATTTTTTCTACTTTAGTCATGTTTTGAGATCTTAACTCATATCATAAATGAGCTAACACTGTTCACCCAGAACACGCCATGCGTATAATAATTTATGTTATTATATTATCTTATGGTTAAGCGAACACCTTAACAAATGCTCATACAGAAGAGAACAATGTCATTACAGAATAAGTGTCTTGTCAGAACAGAGCAGCATACAAGCACAGTGTCTTGTCAGAATAGATAGAACAATGTCTTGTCAGAATTTTAAAAATTAGATTAGAATATATTAGTACAGAACTGAACAAGGACAGTGCTCGTTCACACTTGCTGAACAAGTGGTGATTTATATCTGCAGTAGTTAAGTCTATTTTATTCTATTAAAACATTAAACTGTTTTTATGTTAAATTTAAAATATTTTTGAAATATTAAGTCTTACATGTTCGTATCCCATTAAATTTTGTAACAATGCAATGTATGATGTTATCTGAACATTGGTATATAACTTTGTTTATTAATCCATGCCATAGTTCCTTAGTTGCCATAGTGATCTTAAAAAAAATTCAAATATATTTTGTTAATTATCTAGGTTGAATTAAAATTTAAAAAATATAGTTATAACATAGATACCATTATCTCATTCCACTCTGTTATTATTAATGTAGCAGCAAATATATTACTCCATCTTTCATCCCAAAATCCTCCATCTGCACGATGATTCCACACATATACATTTAAAATTTTTAATGTTTGATTCGTAAGACAAGACGAGTTGAGTTTGTTACTTTGGTCCATCACAATATTGTTGCATCCTGTCAAATTAAGCTTTTACAATTTTTTTTAAATGTTATAGAAAAAAAAAACTAAAAAAATCGCACCAATATTTTCTTAGTTTTTTTTTCCACCTGAAAATAAGGGGGGGGGGGCTAACTCTTTTTATAAACTCAATCTGTTATTGCTATGTGTTCTAGCAGTTATGACTACTATTATTATGTTATTATGTTTACATGGATATTGTTATGTTTACGTGGATATTGATATGTCTACATGGACGTTGTTATATTTACATGCATATTGAAACTTATTAGTCTATGTATGAAAATATTGATATAAAAAGTTACCAGTACCATAGATAACCTTCTTTTATTAAGGGTGGTGACTCTCTGAACAAAAAAATATATTAATGATACGAATATCCTTCAAAATTTTGGTCAAAATTTGGGTCACAAAGGTACAATCTTGGTTTGGAATAATGTAGTTTATGTTTTTATTTCTTGTTACAAGAATAGATTCATTAGAAACGGAAAACTTATTTTAAAGAAGAATTAAACCAGTTTAAAGCAAGTTATATTTTTTAGTTATCAAAATATAGTTCACTGAAAACCATTCAAGAGCATCACTGATTAATCTTGTTGCTGCAGACAACAGCCACACATGCACATCAAATATTATTGTTGCTTATTTTTCTTTTACAGCATACTCATCATCAACTCTTAAAGCATCTTTTTCTAATTTTGTGAAAGTTTCACAAATCTCTGGTAAATATTACTTTAAATCCTCTTTTCATTACTTTTCAACACAATAGTAGCCTAATTTCAATAATTTCAATTCAATATCCTATCATCAGTCCTACTCTAGAACACCCTGTCCAACTATATGAGACACAAAAAACTACTCTAGAACACCCTGTCCAACTACGAGATACAAATGCACATATCATATTTCATTCTTAGACATGCCTAAGGGTCATTCAAATAATGTAACAGTCTGGGGAAGGGGGAATTGGAAAGTATCAACAGTTTTGACATAGGGGAGGGAGGGGTTAACTGCAGTCTGATATGACAAAAAAAAATTTAAGTAAAAATAATCATCACAGTTTAATTAGCTCAATTTGCAGAAATTTTTTATTAAAAATTTATTACTCATGTTTTTGGCTAGGTTTTCTGCTTAACTGGAACTCTATAAAACTAAAAAGTTCAAGAATAAAAATGTCTATAAAAAAGAACTTTAGACCCAAATTCTGATTTATGAGCAAGTTTAGACTCTAAATATAAGTTCATTAATTAATTTATTTAAAACACATAAAGCTTTTTAATTATAATATATGATTATTATAATTATCATTTTTTGTCAACAAATAAACTACTTAACATCACATAACTGGAAGTGGGGGGTGGAGTTTTTAAGATGCTACAAAATATCATGGTGGAAGGTTGGGGTCTAAGAATACAAAAAAACATCTGATTGTTTTCCTTACCACCATGAAATTTAACATTTAAAAAAATGATGAACAAATTTTTTTTAAATAATAAATAGTAAGCTAAAAAATAAAGAAAAAATAAATTTTATCATTAGTAGCACATTTGGCAAATAAAATTACCTAATGCTAATCCTAATAATTTTTCTCCCAAGCATGATGCATTCGAAGAATTTTTAAATAACAAAAATGTTCCGCCTTTATTGATGTCATTGCATTTACATTGGAAGTTTTCATTGATTGCATTAATCCTGGAGCAATTCCCTTCGTCATTTATTTTGTCTTGGTATCCTCGTTCTATGGTTATATTTTGCATAGTGTTTATTTTTGTTTTTATAGAAGTTTTAAATAGTGGATCTGCAGAAGCAAACGTTTGCTTTGTGGTACCAACAAAGTTTGGAGTACTTATTAATTTCACATCTGCTATTGCAGAATAATTTGTCATTAGTATGTTGTTACCATAGTTTTGAAGTAGTGGATCTACAAGAGAAAAAATTTGTCATTAGTAACAGTTTGTTGTTACCATAATGTTGTTAGCACAATAATTTGCATATTTTTAATAAATAAGAATATGTTAGTATAGAATTAGTATATTGCATTATTTGAAAATCTTTTTTATCTTTTAAAATTTTTCTAAATAAAAATATATATACTCATAAATGTAATTCTGTGAAAATAAAATGATGTTTCCTAATGTTTTTAATGTTCGATATATGTTCAATATATGTCTATTTATGTTAAGTTTGATCCGTAATTCAGCTTGATCCATCATTCAGTTTAAAACCTTGTTCAGATTGATCCATCATTTAGTTTGATTCATCAATCTGTTTTATCCATCATAGATTATGACTCAACATTTAGTTTTATCCACAGTTCATTCTGTCATACTGTTGATGCATCATACAGTTTAATCTGTCTTTTAGTTTGATAAAAAAAGTTTATCAAAATTGGAAAAAGTTTTTTATTAATTATATTATGTTATTTATTATATTATTATATAAAATATTTTTGAAATTTTATTTTACCAAAATATATATAATCCAATATATATATATATATATATATATATATATATATATATATATATATATATATATATATATATATATATATATATTCTAATATATATATATTCTAATATATATAATCCAATATATATATATATTAGATTTTTATATAGTAAGTTTTTTCGGAACAAGAGTTATTACATTATGTTGAGTTAAAGTTTCCTAGATAAAAGTTTTGTTATAATTGCAATACAATATATTGAGTTAATTGCAGTACAATATAATGAGTTAGTTATAGTGCAATATAATGAGTTAATTGCAGAACACTATATTGGGTTATTTGCAATACAATATTTTGAATTAATTGCATTACAACATTTTGAGTAAGTTGCAGTATATTTGAGTTGCAGTCTCAAGAACTTTTGTTTATACTAACTTTTGTTTACTTTTTGTTTAACTTTTGATTAAAATAATGTATCAACTGTCATATTTATTATGAAGAACTTGAGTTCCTGAATTTCTTTTAGTTGCAAAAAAAAAATAATTAGTGAAAAAGAAATTGTTTATCTTCTATTTAGCATTATGGCAATGTTATTTGATGTAATTTTGCCATAATATTGAAGATGTAAGACTTTTTGATGTAACTTTAGACAAAGTAAAAAAATGAAAAAATTAAAAAATTTTATATATATTATTAGTTTTATATAATAAAGTTATAATTATAAAGTCTTTTATTTTTATTTTTTATTTTTGTTATATTTATATATATTTATATATATATATTTTTATATTGTTATGTTTACATATATTTATATATATATATATATTTATATATATATTTATATATATATATATATTTTTTATTGTTATATTTATATATATTTTTTAAATTTATAAACAATACTTACATGTTCTTTCTCCTGGAGTTTTAACCAAAAGACATTTTGTATTAAATGATGGACAAGTGTACCATATTCTTATTAGTAAACCATCCCATAATGCATTAGTTGTGTTCATCTATAAAAATTTGATTTTAAAATTTGGAATATTTATCACAGTATTTTTAAAACTTACTGTAATTGTCATTATCATCATAATTACATCATAATTACATCATCATCATCATCATCATCATCATCATCATCATCATCATCATTATCATCATCATTATGATTATCATCATTATCATCATACTTATCATTATTTTTATCATTGTAATCAATCATCACTGTAATTATTATCACTGTAAGTATTATCGTCTGTATAAAAAACTGTTAAGTCATGAATGAATGACAAATTGGGCATAACAAAAGTTTGGTAAGTAGATAGAATTATGGTAGTACTTTTGACAATCTATCATTTGTAAAAGTTTGGTAATTTTATAATATTTCAAGTAAGTTTCAAAGAAGTTTCAAAATTATTCACAATGCATTATTCACAATGTGTTATTCATAATGTGTTACTTCTTTATAAAGTAATACTTTTTAATAATCTAGTAGATAAAAAAGTGATTTGGAACAACAAAAAAGGTTATGTTTTATTTTTAATGCAAAAAATGTTTTATTTGCTGAAAAACCTAAAAATTAAAAAGAAATTAAAAAAAAAAATACAACATTTTTCATAAAATGATTTTTTGAAAAAAAAAAAAAAGTTACAAAAAAATCATTTCCTCTGTTACAAAAAAATTCATATCCATTTATGGCTGTTTATTAAATATATTGATGTAGACATTTTTAAAATTAATTTACAAGATTTGGGAACTTCTGAGACCAATCTGACATACATTAATATTGTGTGGTTTTAATTTAATTCCTCTTCACACAAATTCTTGGTTGATGAATCTTTTAACTAATTATCTCCAAAGTTCTCCAATAAAAGCAAAATGTTAAGTAGCTATATTTTAAACAGCTTTTCAAATATAAATCTTAATAATTTTTAAGTGCATTTAGTTTGTGTCTATGTTTTATTATGTCTACCCTGGTTATTTTAAAGTGACGAATTAATTTTGAGAATAGATCAAGATAGAATTAAAATAAACTTAATAAAAATGCTGTGTATACTTTTTTGAAGTTTTAAAAGTTTTTTAAGAAAATAGGTGTCAAGTATATTTTTATTTGGAATTTATTTGCATTTTTAGAAGCATCAACATCAGAAACATCATCATAACAATCAGAAACATAAAATAATCATTACCTTAATGTTGTTTTTTGAATTAATAAACAGCATTGGTTTAATAACTGTATTCCATGCAGAACTCCATATACCTCTGAAAGTTGATTTATCAAATTCCCATAATTCCACTTTTATTATACTAGCTTTAGGGCAAACACTTATAGTGTTCTGGTATACAAAGGATTCACATTCTTTTAAAGAAAATAAATGCGCCAAATTAAGAAGAGTATAAATATTTTAGAATAAAATAAAAAATGTCAAAACAAATTTTAAATAATAATAAAAATAATTGTTAGCATTAAAACCGCAATTCTTCTTCGAAATGATCAACGTGGCTCATCATTACCATGGTTCTGCATCAAAATAATCAACATGACTCTTAAAAGTTAAAGTAAATAAGGATGATGATGAAAGATCCACTGATAAGTATTATGATTGTCACAATGATGAGCATTGATGAACAATGATGAACATTGATGAACATTATCACTAATGAATATAGATCAATGATAAAGATTGTCATTTTGAAAAATAAATAAAAATCCACCTGCTTCATCAGTAACAGTGTTTGTTCCAAGACACTTTGGTTTAACTGAGTTTTTTGATAATAATGTAGCTCCATTTAAAATATTTGAACATTTACAAGTTTGTGATTCATAGTATGATCCTTCAAATAGGCATTCATCCTCTCTGCTTAATCCACTCATCTCATCTTGTAAATCTCTTTTTATTACAACACATATTATTAATTTAAAAAGCAAAAAAAAGATTTTGGTCTCCATTAATGTTATACTTTTTTTTTCACTAGCATAGTTTTTTTGTTTTTGAAAATTTTTTATGGTTTGTGATGCTACATTTTTTTGCTATTAATGTTTTAAACGTTGTTTAGGGATTATGTAAGCTTTATTGATTTTTTAATTGATGTAATTAAATACATTTCTTTCTTTTGTTTGAATGACAAATTTGTTTAGTTATGTTAAGCTTAGGTTTTTATCAGTTAAAGTGTTTTAAATGTTTAAGTAATATTTTTTTAAAACAATTTCAGTTATGTTTTATATTTTAGAAATATAAATATATATATATATAAATATTTTAGAAATATATAAATAAATTGGTATACTTAAAATGATATTTTAAATTTAACAAAAAATTCAATTTTATAGTTAATTTAATAAATTAGATGATAATCTAATTGTTTTTAATGGAAGTAGTTAAATAGATTGGAAGTAGTTTTAATGGAGTTAAATACATTGGAAATAGTTAAATCTTTTATTTCTCATTTGCAATATTAATATGTTTCCTGTTTTTTTGTTTTAATGACAAACTATCTATAATAAAATAAGATTTAAATTTTATATATGTTTAAAGAATAATTACAAATAAAAAAAACAATTTATGCAGTTTATAAATAATAACAATATTTATGTTAAATATAAAAAAAAATATTTACATTATTTTAAATTTTAAAAATATTAAAGCATAAATATATATGTATATATATATATATATATATATATATATATATATATATATATATATATATATATATATATATATATATATATATATATATATATATATATATATATATATATAACTTTAATAATTTTAAAAATATTAAAGCATAAATATATATATATATATATATATATATATAACTTTAATAATTTTAAAAATATTAAAGCATAAATATATATATTATATATATATATATATATATATATATATATATATATATATATATATATATATATATATATATATATATATATATATATATATATAGATAAATAGATAGATAGATAGATAGATATAAATATAGATAGATAGATATATATAAGGTCTTAAACAAACCATAAAAATATTTTTTTTGAGCTTGTCTTGAAAATTCAGTTTCATTTTTTTTGAAAAACAACATTTTTTTATTTTTCACAGTTTTTATAAAATTATTACAGTTTTTATTATTTATATATATATATATTTTTGTTATTATTTATATTGTTTTTTTAATTCTTTATTTTATTCTTATTATTATTGTTGTTATTGTTATTATTGTTGTTGTTATAGTTATTAATATTATTATTATTGTTGTTGTTGTTGTTGTCTTAATTAATAACTTAATATTTATTAATATTTTTTTAGTTTTAAATGTGTTTAAAAAATGAAAAGTACTTTTTGACCTGAGTATTACAAAAAAATATTTTCAATTTAGAGCTTGGTTTTGCTTCTTACTTCTACAGATATAGCTATTCTCCATCTTTCATTATACACACTTCTTGGGCTTACCAAAAGGCTTGTAATTATTATCTAAACAAATTTGTTCTAAATAAATATAATGAAAGTATAATTATAATAACAAACATTAAATAATAACAATATTAAAAAATTTTAGCTAAAACAAAATATAGATTAATTTGATATTTAAAAAATATAAGTATCATTTTTATTAGTGTTGTAATTTATAATAATATTGTTAATGGTATTATTATTATTGTTGTTTGTATTAATGTCATTAATAGCTTATTAATGACATAGTGACATTATTAATAATGTATAAATGACAAATAGTTCATTAATAATAACTTTTTATTTTTGTTGTTTTACAGAGAAGATGCTAGAGAAGCTGTGTGTGCTATGAACAGTGTTGAAATTCTTGTTCAAATTACAGCAGAATATGATGATTCATCTAGACAGTATGGCTTCTTCGTTTTCTATTAATGTAAAAAGTTCAATGTTTTTATCTATTTGAATTAACAGTTGCAATTTTTTGTTTTTGTTTTTATTGTTTTAAAATCTTTGGATTATGTATCGTTTTTTCTACTTTTTAGTTCAGTTATTTTATTTATTTAGTTTATTTTTTTAGTTTATTTCAAGTTAGTTTTCAGTTAAATTATTTTAAGTTAATAATTAGTTCTTGCTTATTATTAGTTATAATACCCTATTGGATCAGTTTATAAGATAAATGAGTTTTTTAATTTTTTTTTTTTTTACAATGCCTCCAATATATCAGCAAATGTAGATTTTCCAATGAAACATCATTTAGGATGTTATACTGAAGTTTTATACTTAATTTTGTGTGGGCAGTTGAGGTAATAGGAGGCAGCAGCTGTTTTTTATTAATGAGTGCTAAACTTCTACTAATAAGTAATTCTACATCAAGTTACCAGAATGTTTTGAAATTTTAAATCACGTTTCCATGTTTTTTTTAAACTTCAAAATATACCTAATAAAATGAGAAATAAGGAAAAAAAAATTGAGAATGCTTTTTTGCAGAATTTAAAAAATATTTATTATTTATAATTTAAATATTGATTACTTTAAAATAACTCACAATAACTTTTTCAAGAAGTTATAAAAAAAACTTGCAAATAGAAGTCTGATAAAGTATTAAATTTGGTTTGTAGAGTCTTTTGGGAAAAGAAAACATTTTTTTATGTTTTATTTTTGGAAGTCTTATACAATTGTGTAAAAATAAATATAATTTAATAAAAATTTGAATAAAATTAACAGTACCTACAAGTACAAAAAATATTACAAGTACAAAATAAAAATATTTCTAAAGAAGGAATCTAAAATGTAAGAATTATTTCTACTCTAAAAAATCTTTTTCTACTGAAAATAAAAATAGAAAATTCTTGTTCTTGTTTATTCAAAAAAATGCAAACTACTGGTCAAAAATTGCTTGATCCTTACTGGTCAAAATTTGCTTGCTTCTTAGTGGTCAGAAATATCTTGCTTCTTACTGGTCTAACATTACATTACAATAAAAGTAGTGACTAGAAGTAATTTGAAACTACTGAAAAGAAACTCTGCAAATCTTGAAAGCAATCCATAAATTCTAATAAGATACTTAAACTTGCTTTGTTTAGACCAAATTGGTACATTTCGCCAGGTGCAAGTGGTACACATTTTGTTTGTGTTTGTGTCCTTATCACCAAAGAGCCATATTGCTAGTGGATGCATTAAATATTGGTGAAACATATGAGGATTAATTTTCAAAAACAGTTTGCTCAGTGGAAAATGAATAATCCATTGCAAAGAATAGTAATTGTTCTGGTAATATACCACTGATCACATTTGTATGAGATTTTTAGGCACATATGAGGATGATTTCAGATAAACAACAAACAATGAAAGAAAAAAAAAGGACAACACTATTAAATGCAGATGTTCCAAATTTCATTGAACTTTTCTTGCTTTAATAACGCTGCAGGTTCATTCTATTTATAATTTGTTTTAGGTTCATATTTCTCACTTGCAATATCTTAATGAGCTAAAAAGAAGAGTTATCACTGGAACATTTGACAATCTTTTTTACAAGGAAGATAAAACATATATTTGCCCTGCTATCAAACTACATTGCATACAATGTAACATATGTGTACAAAATATTTTGACTATTTATAACCACATTCAAAGCAAAATTTTCCAATCAAAACTTTTTGTATTATAGTTAATTTTTTTTTATTGCATTAGGAAGTATTGTTTTAGTAAATTCCAGAGTAAATGAGTAAAAAAATAAAATCTAGAAATACATTAGAAATTATAATTCTGTATCTTTCTGTTGTTTTTTAAATTTTGCAAAATGTTTCAGCTCTGCATCAATTCATTTAGTCCGTTGAACATATGGTTTAATGGAATGAATGATTTGATGCGGAGTAAATAGTCTGATGTTATTTACATTAAGATATTTAAAAAATGTGAAATAGACTATTTTTTAAATTAGAGATACTCTAATGTGAACTGCAATAGAATGATTTCTTTTAATGTACTATTGATGTGAACTACAATCCTAATTAAAGCAGAAGCCATTTTATTATTATTTTATTATGTTTTTAAAAAATTCAAGTTTTCAGTTTTAGCATTTTGGTTTTTTTAGTTTTACCTTTTTAGTTTTTATGTTGCTAAGTACTTGGTAATTTTAACACAGCTCTGTAATCTCTCATCCCTTAGTCTCCTTTTTGTAAAGTTTTTGTGAATGTCATTAAAAAAATCTTAAATTTTATTCTGTTTTTTATTTTAAAATTTTACAGAATTCAAATGTTTTTTGCTTTATTATGTGTTTATTTCATTTTATTTTATCATTATTATCTTTTTAACATCTTTACTTCCAACAAGGCTGCAAGCAACCACTATTAGAGATGGAAGTTACTGGAAGAAAAAAGATGAAGTTTATAAAGCAAGATAATGATTAAAAGATGACTTGAAAGATTGCAAAATATATGAATTAGGAAAACAAGATTAGGAGGCAAATTCCAAAAAACTGATGTTCAAGGAAAAAAACTAAACGAATAAGAATTTTTGTAGCACTTAGGAACAGTCACAGTTAAAGGATGAGACTTAATTGAATGATGAGTAAAATGATAACGAATTTTAGTAGATGGCGTTAGAGATGCTAGCTCTTTAGAGCAGTGCCCATTATAGTATTTATAGAAAAGAAAAAGAGAAGCAACATTACGATGATGTGAAAATGGTTGAAGATTGGCTACAAGAGCAGGTCCTACTATGTTTACAATGCATTTTTGCACCATAAAAAGAAATGGTATCATTGGAAGATCTGCCCCAGATATTCCATACAAGGACGGATTTAGGATTTATAGAGATGAAAAATAGAGTCCTGAGTAACAAAGTGGCGAGCACAATAAAGAAATACAACCTTAGCAGATACTATTTTTGCAATTGATAGAACCATGAGCCCCTGAAGTTACAGGATTTGAAGAAGAGTACTGTCCATTGAAGACAACTTTTGTACTATGGTTGGTAAGTAAGGATTTAATAATCTTAAAAATGTTACCTAATACACTATAAGGGAAGAGCTTTTGGAGAAGACCAGCATCCCAAACTTTATCAAAACTTTAGAAATGTCAAGAGCGATAGTCTTAGCCTCTATACATCTATCTAATGCATAATAAAACCTATCAGTTATTGCTGTTAACAAATCAACAGTAGAACAAGAAGATCGGATTCCATATTGGTGATTAGTAAGTTATTAGATTCAAGATGAGAGATTAAGTGTTTGTTAATTTAAAATCCTTACTTATTATATTAAGAAGATGGTACTTAAACAAGTCAGATCACTCTTCAGATTTTTTTAAAAATAGAGATAACAGACACTGCTTTCCAACAGGCTGGAAAACAAGACTCTAATTAGCACTTTTTAAATAGTTTTGAAAGTATAGATCACGACTCCGGAGAACATTTCTGCAAGACCATAGCAGGTAAGTTGTCCGGACCACAAGCTGTAGAAGAGTCTAAGCAGAAAATTATTTTAGATTCAGAAGCTGGAGTGATACAAAATCAGACAATAGATTAACCTGTTTGTTGGCTATACCAGGTAGACGTGATTAGCAGAATCAAGAGAAGATATTGATGAGAAGTTCTTATAATTCTGTTAGAAGAAGTTCTTATAATTTTAAGTTTTTATAATTATAATTATAAGTTCTTATAATTATAAATTATAAAAAAGTTCTTATGATTATAAAAATTACAATTTTTATAATTTGAATAATTCTGCTTTGTCTTTAGGTGTAGTGACAAAATCTGAAACACCCAAGAGAGGTGGAATAACTCTTATTATAAACACTGTTAAAGATTCTCCAGAAGTCACGAAAGCCAAATTTTTGAGATGAAATACAAGTTTTTGTGGCATGAGAAAAGCAGGCTTTGGCATTAGACAAAATCTTTTTACAATGGTTTCTACTAATAGTAAACAGACGTCTGTTTTCCAGAGAGTTATTTTGCTGAAAGATATGAAAGTAATGGTTACAATTGGAAATTGCAGCAGCACAATGAGAGGAAGACCATGGAGAAGAGTGAGGCTTGACTTGAAATTGTTAAGAAGGAATAAATAATTCCATGCCAGCCTGAGTTCAAGAATTACAAAAGGAGCACATTTGTCAGCAGGAAAACAAAATATTTTTACCCAAGGGCCATCACGAAAATTACGGAAGAGTCCCAGTTAGATTTAAGGTAGTTGCAATAGGTACAATGGTAAGGGTATTCTGATGATGAAGAAGAATGAGATAATAGTTTTGGAGAGATCAAACCGTAATCAGAAGCACTGGGTGAATGTGGAGAAACTGAGCACTGACTAGGATCAGAAACAAGACATAAATCAAGTAGAGAAGGTAAATGATTCAGATTATCTGGAAAGCAAGTTGGAAAGTTGACTATTTGTGTTAGAGATTGAGAAAGGCAAAAGTTGTGGGCTTTAATGCCTGCAGAGTCACTGACACTAGAGTCAAGCCATTCAGTGTGATGGGCAATAAAGTCACCAACAATGATGTTTACGAGAATTATAGAACAAAGAGAAAGGTGATAGAATGGAGTTGTGCTAAAAGAAAACAAAAAAGAATAGTCTGTGGATTCAAACCTAGTTTCTTAACAAATGGGTGACTTCTTATGAATGTAAATGTCCAGTCACAAACATGTTACTATTGGAGTCTTTACAAATTAAAAGAAGATAACCATGAACACTAAAATCTCAAAATAAGACAGCTGAACTCAAACTAGTCTCACAAAGAGGTCTAATGAACTTCGCAAGAGATAAGTCTCAACAGAAGAAAAGTTAATTCAAAGACCACGAATATAAGTGAATGATAACAATGATATTAGTTTAGATAAAAATGTTTTTTTGTGTTTCATAGTTTTAGGTACTTTATTCATTTTTAAATTTGTTAAAGAACTCAACTCAAAGCACAGATAGTACTCAGTACACTATTATATAGTGTATTGAGTAAAGCATTTGGCTCTTTACTATTAATAAACCCCAAGCTGTAATAAATGGCTGTAAATGTGGCCTTGACAATGCACATCAAAAGTACGAACAGAACACCATCCATGCGCAACATGTTTGTACTCTGATATTTAAAAGCTATTGATGGAATCAGCCACTCTGAGAGCTACCACAGAGTTCGGGAAAACTGACTACCAGGCGGCCTCAGAACCATAAAACTGAATTTTTAGCTGTACCCTCATTAGGAGAAAATAGAATGAGTTGCCTAGTCAAAAAAACAGAGACACAAGCAAAACCCATGCTTTGAGTCAAGAAGATCCAGCATTCAACATCCTAAACTGGAAACAATGTAATATAAATACATCTACGCCAGTCTAAATGTTGAAGAAGAGGTGCGAGGCAGGTCAGCAGACCTGTTTACCCCTTAAGTCTTTGCCAGGGAGGCCTTTTACAAAACAGTAGCCGAATGCGTTTAACATCTACCCAAGATAGATATTATATACATAGCATATATAAGGATATACAATAAAAAAAAATGAAAAAGAGAGAATTTTTAATGAAGCTTATTTGCCGTTTTATAAAGTTGTTTGTTTATTTAATTGTTTTGAAATTTTCGTCAGAAAATTTCAATTAAATAAACAAACTGAAAACAATGTACAAATGCATCTACGCCAGTCTAATTAATGAAGGTGCAAGGCAGGTCAACAGATAGAATCTGTTTACCCTTTAAATTATATATATACATTTACATTAACGATCTTCCAGATATTCTCACATCTAAGGTGGTATTGTTGGCTGATGATACTACCATTTGATGATATTACCATACTGATGATATTACATACTGATGATATTACATACTGATGATATTACCATACACGATAAGAAGCCAACTCTCTCTGATTGCTTGCAGGGGGCATCTGAGCTCGAAAAGGATCTCACTTCTGCTACAGCATGGGGCTCGCAGTGGCTGGTGAACTTTAATTCAGATAAAACTCAATTTTTTTCGGCCAATCGTTATCGCAATAATTTAGACCTTCCTATATTTATGAACGGTAATGTACTCGATGAGTCTCCTACCCTTCATCTTCTAGGATTAACTCTTACTTCTGATCTTTCTTGGAAACCCTATATCAAATCCGTTGCAAAATTAGCATCTGCTAAAGTTGCTTCTTTTTATCGAGCTTGTCACTTTCTTACTCTGGATTCTATTCTCTATCTCTATAAATCTTAAATCCGGCCTTGTATGGAATACTGTTGCCATATCTGGGGCAGATCTTCTAATGATGCCCTTTCTCTTTTAGACAAGGTGCAAAAACGCATTGTAAACATAGTTGGACCTGCTCTTGCAACCAACCTTCAACCTCTGTCACATCGTCGTAATGTTGCTTCTCTTTCTCTTTTCTACAAATACTATAATGGGCACTGCTCTAAAGAGCTAGCGTCTCTTGTGCCATCTACTAAAATTCATTCTCGTGTTACTCATCATTCAATTAAGTCTCATCCTTTTTCTGTTACTGTTCCTAAGTGCTCCAAAAACTCTTATTCATCTAGTTTTTTTCCTCGAACATCAGTTCTTTGGAATTCGCTTCCTTCATCTTGCTTTCCTGATTCATATAATTTGCAATATTTTAAGTCGTCTGTCAATCGTTATCTTGCTCTACAATCTTCATCTTTTCTCTTCCAGTAACTTCCAACACTAATAAGTGGTTTTTTATTATCTTCGCTTGCAACCTTGTTGGAAGCGAAGATAATTAAAAAAATATATATATATATATATCTATATCTATATATATATATATATATATATATATATATATATATATATATATATATCTATATATATATATATATATATATATATATATATATATATATATATATATATATATATATATATATTATATATTATATTATGTAAGCTTGCATATTTATTTATATATACGTGTTTTTAAATATTCTGTTATGTATATACCTTTGCAACCTATAATGTTGAATTTATAAATTAATTTTTTTAATCATAATTCTGTGTTGTATAAATTATTAAAAATCTTGATTTTTCAAAAAAAAAACAAAAAAAAACAGTTAATAAAAAAAGATGAATTCAAAATTTTTTATATTTTTTTGATATATAAGATTTATTTAATAATTTGATATTTTAATAATTAGTTAGATATACATTTGTTAATATCTTTAATAGAATATCAATAAATTCTTATATAAATAAGTATAAAATTATAAAGTATAAATTAATTATAGAGTATAAATTCTTTTTTAAAAGTTTGGCTGTCAACTTACTTCGACAGTTATGCACAGAAAAATATGCAAGAGAGCAAGTTAAAATATTTAATGGAATTCCTATTCTTTTAAGGTAGTCTTTTGTTTTGTGGTACTTTCTGTTATTACATTACAAATTATAATTTTAATAATATATACAGGCTTTGGCAGGAAGTGAGAGCTTTAGCTCTCGCTCTCGCTCACACTCCCCTAAAATGGTTTACAAGAGCAATTTACAGCTCTTGCAAAAATATAATTTTTCTCACAAAAGGATAATTATAGTTTTAATTAAAATAAAACACAAAATGTCATTTATATAAAAAAAATTAATTGCATAATATACTGCAATGCTTTTTAAAAAGCACAGTTGTTGCAAAATAAAAATTAAAGTTAAAAAAGAGCACCGATTTAAATGAGGAGCAGCTCGCCCAGGTTTGTTTTAGGAGAGTTTTTCTCTACTCTCGTGCTTATTTATTCCCGCCAAGGCCTGTATAAATATATATACACAACCCTTGGAATTAGAAAAAAATGAGGTCTGCAATAATTTGCTGACCTCAATCTTTTAGAAATACATCAGGTCAGCAAAAATTATTTGATACAAAGGTCTTGCCAAAAAACATAGAAACAAGTTCGGCAATTTTTTGCCGACCTCAAACACTTTTAGGTCTTTTTTTTATACATCTTAAGCTATAACGTTTTTTTCGAAAAAGAAGAAGAAAAACAAAGAATGATGAATGAAACAATTGCTTCCCCATCCCAAACCCTCAGTCGATGTAGCAGCACTCCACTGCGAGTCTGGCTATTTTTCGATGTATGTACTGAAGCCCCCAGCAGCAGGCTATTTCAGTACGATGTCAGATTGCTTAGCTTAGTACGCAATATTATTTGTGTATATATATATATATATATATATATATATATATATATATATATATATATATATATATATATATATATATATATGTGTGTAAATATAAACATGAATATATATATACATGTATATATATATGTATATATATGTATATATATATATATACATGTATATATATATGTATATATATAGATACATGTATATATATACATGTGTATATATATATATATATATATATATATATATATATATATATATATATATATATATATATATATATATATATATATATATATATATATATATATATATATATATATATATATATATGTATATATATATATATTATATAATATATATAAACATTATTGATTTAAAAAATTCCTTTTTACAATACTAAAAAACCAAGCAAATTAGGTAAAAATTAGAGTTTTAATTTAGATTTGTTCATGAACACACACAAAATTTTTTTAATATTTTACATGACATCTTCAGCCATTTACAACTCTTAAGTTTATGTTTATGCTTATGTCAAATAAGAATGTTTTGCACCAATGGCACCAATTAAAGTCTGGAAATAAAAACACAAAAATAATTTGATCGTCCGTTTTAGTTTAATTGGCCACATGATTGAGGGTGTTAAACTCTAAAAAAGTAAAAATTTAAATTTACTTGAAATTTAAACCTGAAGATAAATTTCCTGAAATTGTTATATGTAAAACATCAAGTTTTTCTGTGGTTGCATATTATTACATAAAATGTTAAAAAAAAAATATGTTTTTATGGAAAATAAAATTTTCACTAAAATCAAGCTTGAACATCAACTAAACAATTTGATTAAATCTTTCTTGGATTTCAGATTTAGAACAACGTCTCCCTAATCTTGCTCTAATAAAACGATCACAGCTCTGAAAGCCATAAAAATCAGCTGCTGCTTCAGTTTAACAACTCTTTCACAAAACTGAGTGTGGAGAGGATAGTAAGGTACTTCCATAGGAAAATCTATTTCTTTTTGTAAATCTTTTTTTGTCATATTACTTGTAAAATTTGGCTCCAAAATTTGTTCTTTACTCCAGTAAAGTTTGACCTCTTAGTAGATAAAGAAGTTTAATTAGATGATGGGGCCCATTGACAATAGAGTGCTTTATCTTGATTCTAAGCCACATATAAAAGTATACTTAAGTCACAAGCTGAGAAAGAACTTTTAGATTTTTTAAAATATCTTCTTCCAAGTCATGTTCACTAATGTAAAGCCAAAGAATTGCCTGAACAGTTGTGAGCCACCTTCTATGGCAATGATTACCATATTTTCTGTTGCCAAGTGAAGGATTCAAGATATCTGATTCAAGACAAGAAACTAACTTGTAGCTTAGTGAAGCGTCAATTGACATTTGATTAAGTTTTAACCAAAGGTTCTAATTGATTCAAACTTTTCTAGTTGTTTTAATTGATTTACTTTTGATAATAGTTTGCCTATAGGCCCTTTAAATCCATCCTTAAAGTTAGTAGGTCCATCAAGATTTGCAATAAGGTGTCTTAAAGGTTGCTCATAGGTATGTAACATGCAAATCAACCAAAAATATTTTCTTATATTTTTTTTAGAACCTTTGAAGGTGTGTAATGGGTCGAATAGCTTCCATCTTGTTCAGAAGTAACACTTATGTTTTTTTGCTTTTCTGTTCTTCGACAAAACATTTTAGTAATTGAATCTTCAATAAAAATTAGTGTAGGATCTTTCTTATTCTTCCATCTACAAATATGCCTTTGATAGGAGCTTCAATATATTTATTAAGTAGTCCAAAATAAAGTTTTTGTTTATTTTATATTTTTGCCTACCAACTACCACGCGTGCGCTTAGATTGTAAATATTTGCAACCCGTCTATTACAATCAACATGTAGATACATCAACTGAGGGTTTTGGTTTGGTCAGATACTCTTTTAAATAAAAGAATGTCTTCTCTAAAAAAAAAAAAAATGTTGCGTCACAAAATCGAGACCCCCTTCCCCTCGTAATAAATCGTCACAAAATTGCCTACCCTCCTCACCCCCCCCCCCCCCCACCTAAGATTGACGTAATATATGGACAACCCCTTAAGCAAATTATAAAGTGTTTTCAGTTTCTTATTAAAAAGGTATACAGTTTTTCGAAAAGAAATTTTTTGCAAAAAGAAATTTTTTAAGTTTTTATTACAAAACTCTAGTTTTTACCATAACCTCTTGTCTGGCTCTTTAAATATTTTTAGGATCACATGCTGAACTAGCCATATTTTGAGTCAAGTAATTTGATTTGATCAAATCTTGAAGGAGAGCAGATACAATTGCAGATGTAGCAGAAGGAGATATGTCAAATTGAAGAGATTCTAGTGCTGTATTTGGGATCTTTATGTAATTCTGGGGGTAACATATGGGGAAGTTTTTTGTTTGATATTATTGGAGCTATCTTCTGAGAATATTTCATTTACATCTTTAATTTTTTTAGGTGATATTTCTGGATTTAAGTCATGCCCCACTGATTAAAAAACTTTATCTTCAATGTTTTCAATTTGAACCTGTATATTAATATAAGGTTTTTTAATCAAATGTTTCCTTTTTTCACATTTTTTTTATTTTACGTTTCACTGTTTTAACCTGTCTTTCTGTTTCTACCTTGTCTAGTTAGTTTGGTAGCCTGATTTTGCACCAACCTTATCTCTTTGAGGTCTGAGCCATAATAAATCAAGTTGTGGCACCTTAATAGCTTTAGAACAAATGTATAAAATGTGAACTCCTGCATAAATATGTATATATATATATATATATATATATATATATATATATATATATATATATATACATATATATATATATATATATATATATATATATATATATATATATATATATATATATATATATATATATATAAAAGAAATTTATATTATATTTATATATTAAATATATATACATATTATATATATATATATATATATATATATATATATATATATATATATATATATATATATATATATATAATATGTATATATATTTAATATATATTTAATATATATATATATATATATATATATATATATATATATATATATTTAAATATAAATTTGTTTATATATATATATATATATATATATATATATATATATATATATATATATATATATATATATATATATATATATATATATAAGAAATAATTTATATTTACATATATATATATGTATATATATATATATATATATATATATATATATATATATATATATATATATATATATATATATATATTTAAGAAATAATTTATATTTACATATATATATATATATATATATATATATATATATATATATATATATATATATATATATATATATATATATATATATATATATATATATATATATATAAGAAATTTCGTTTTTAGCTTATTGAGAAGTGACTCAATGAAATTGCTTTGGAATGTGGTAAAATATGTTTTAAAAGTTTACCATAAATTTTCTGAGGACTACACATATAAATATGACAGGAATTTTTTTCGCATAATAATAGTAATAATAAAATAATAATACTGATAACAATAAAATAATAATAATAATAATAATAATAGTAATAATAGTAATGGTAATAAGTGAAAACTGTAATATTTGAGAATAGATTTGAATATATACATAAAATATTGTTTTATGAAAGTTATAATTATTTAAGATTTTTGTTTCTGCACAATATAATTGTATGACTTTATGGTTTCTTAAGGTCTGGATTATTGTTCAATTATGTGAGGACAGTGACATTAGTAATGAGATTCGGGTTCTTGGAGGAATTCCTTTACTAATTGCTTTGCTTCAGTAAGTAATTATTAAAATTTATAAAAAATTATTCTTTTATTAATTCAATAATTAATGAACTTTAAGCAGAGTTTTTAGTCCTTGGCCTAAGCCTTACCTTCAGCCAAAAATTTAGGTCTTGGTCTTGACCTTAAAAATTTTAGCATTAGTCTTTATTGTTTTGGCCTTGGCCTTCAAAAAAAAAATACATAAAGTCAAAGATATAAAAGTTTTTATTCTTAATTTATATGTATTTTTGTTTTCGGGTTTCATACATATCTACAAGCTAAAAAAAACTTTTAATTCTTTAATAAAATTAAAGAATTAAAAGTTTTAGATCTTTATTTTTATGTATTTTTTTTTCGGGTTTTGTATACATCAACAATCATATTTTGTTATTGACTTCGTTAAATTCTATGCATAACCCTGGCCTATTTTTACAACATGTGGTTTTATTGTCACAGCACATGCTACCTACAGTTTTGTTAATAATTGGACTCAACATAAGGCAAAAATTTAAGTCTTCGGTCTTAAAAATGTTTGCGTTGGACTTGGACTTGAAACTTCTATTCTTACCCATGACCTTAAAACTCTTGTCCTTGTCTTTGTAACTTGTGGCATTGGTCTTGGCCTTGCCACTTTTGGCCTTGTTAACAACTCTGGCTTAAAGTTTAAAAAAAAAATTAAATTTTTTAAAAACTTTTTTTTTTTAAGAGATCCTTTTTTGCAAAGAAAAGATTCTTTGTCTGATAACACTGTTGCTGGTATTGGTGGAGCTGATGTTAGTAATGGTGAAAATGTCAGTCTTATTTATATTTATCTTGTAATTTATATCCGTATTCTTGAGTCTGTGTATATATTAAACTGTTTCATTATATTATATCTGTATATATATATATATTATTCTGTTTCAATATGAGGTTATGAAAAGGTATATAGTACTATGAACTTTCATCTGGTTTGCAGACTCCTATTTTATTAGTAGAATTTTTTGACTGATTTTATTTTAAATTAATTTTCTTGATTTATTTATGACATTAAAATTCTAAAACAAACATGAAATCATACAGCAAAATGTTTTAAGATATTTACTATTAATATTTTAAAGCATACTTTAGTTAAAACATTCATTTTATTAAGAAATATTCTTAATAATTTTATTTTAGTTCTGTATTAAATTTTAAGGTTTGACTTTAAAACTAATTGGGCAATTGATATTTGAAAATGTGGTAACAAAATTCTAAGTAAGTTTAAGATATACCCAGCTGGCATATTTTTGTAAAAAGTAATGCATAGTTTTGTTGCGTGGTTAAAACCCCCCGAAGCAAAAAGAAAAAAACATATGTTCTTGACATGTTATTCTTTTGTTTTGTGTGTTTTGACATGCTATTCTTTTTTTGTGTGTTTTATTCTGTTTTTTTCTTGTGTTTTTCTATTTTTATTTTCATAGTTTTTTAATTTCGTAAACTTAATGTTTTTAATTAATAGTTAATAAAGAAGTGATTTTAGTAACATTTAGAGTTCTCTTTAACTTCCTTTTGCAGTAGGAACAACATCAAATCTTTTTTTGGCAATATTAAAATTGTCCTTAATGATTTTAAAAGTTGATTTGGATCAATCATTAATAACAGTATGATAAAAAACAGCCAAATATTAGGTAGAACTTGTTATATGTATAATATTCTGGGAGAGAGAGGGTCATTGGTTTACAATGATTCTGGCGCTGGCCTTTTATAAGAAACAAGAGCCACAGCATTTCTGTGAAAAGTGAAATTATGCTTGGAGACTTTGGCTCAATAAAGTCTAAATAATCAAGTTCTTTTTAATTCTCACTAATATTAATCTCACTTATCTCTGTTATAAAAGTATGTTGTGAATATACTGAGAGAAAATTGTCAAGAAAAAAACAATTGACTATAACAATTTAATTCAACAAGGAAACTTGCCTGCTGCGAATTCCAGAAAATGACAAAGCTTAAACTTATAAAATATTTACATATAAAAGCTCTTATTTCTCATGGTTGGAGAAACTTGCAATAGATGAACCCCCCCCCCCCCCAAATTATTTGATATATAACAAGTTCTACATAAAGATTTACAAATCTGTTTTTCATTTTGCTGTTGTCTATGATTACTCTGAGAGAACTGTTAAACTCATTAAGGACAACATCAATATTGGCAGAAAAGAAGGAAGAGACATGATTAAATGTTGTTCCCACACTATGGAGATAAAACCCCAAAAGTATGGAGATAAATCCCTAATCACTATGAAAATCTAAAAAAAGAATGTCAATATATTTCAAACTTTTTAAAAATAATAATCATTAAGATTTTTGTTGAATTGTTAGACCTTTTATGTAATATGTCAGATGATGTTTCAAAATTGCCAGAAGCATATCTGTAAAATTACCATGAACCACAGAAATAAGAAAAACTATATAAGTTTGCAATTTTGTAGACAAATTTATATAAAACATTTCATCTAAATAAAATGACAATGTATTTTTATTTTTCTTATCACTGAAAAAATAATTATTTTAAGGTTTAGAGCTTGATCAAAAGTGGTAAAAAATGGACTTAAAAAGGTCCACTTTTAAAATATTTGTTAAAAAGGACTAGATTTAGATCATTAATGTATTTGAACAACACCTAATAGTTGTTCCAATTTAAATAAAAAATAGGGGTCTGGATTCCATAGCACTTTCCTACTTCATAATGAAACAGCTTTATATATAAATATATATTATATACATATATATTGTATATATATACAAACTTATATTTGTATATGTATGTGTGTGTATATATATATATATATAAATATATATATATATATATATATATATATATATATATATATATATATATATATATATATATATATATACATATGTATATATATATATATATATATATATATATATATATATATATATATATATATATATATATATATATATATTATTTCATTATGTCATTATGACATTATTTCAGATAAACCAAGACTTAAAAAGTGAACAAAAGCACACTTTGCAGGCTGGTAACACCGTTGATTACTTTATTTTTAATTTGTTTTTGTTTGGCCAGAGTTTATAAATTCATTGGCCAGCCTTCATTTTGTGTACAAATGGATTTAATATTTTTAAATGTTATATATATATATATATATATATATATATATATATATATATATATATATATATATATATATATATGATTATTTCTATACTTTTTTACTTTTTAGCTGTATGTGCTGCTTTAACTGAGCTTGTGCTAAATGATACCAATGCAAGATGTGTTGTTCAGGTTTGAATTTTTTCAATTGAGTTGTCAATTAAAATTTTTTTTGGTTATGCAGATGACACAGATGCTCATGTATTTTACATGATAAAAAGAGTTTTTACTTAGCGGAAAATGGATTTTTAATACTCTGTATAAATCTGATGTTGTTAAATTTACTTTTGAAGTATTTCATACAATTTAAGCATTAAGTTCTAAATTTAAAAAAATACAAAAACTTGCATTTATTTAATGCCAAACTTATTATTTTTAGTTTTAGTAGTGTTTTTTTATAAGAAAAAGTGAATGAAAGTGTATGCAAATATTTAACTTATGTAAACTTAAAATTATGTAATATTTAAACATATATCAAGTTTTATAATTTTACTTTCTCTTGAAAATTGCATTGCGGCAACATCTCTTTAGTTTTAATCTTTGGCATTTATTTGCCGTTTCATAAAGTCTTTTATTTCCTAAATACTATTATAACATGTGTTGTACAATACACCTAAATGGGCGAAGTGGTTAGCTCGACTAGTTTCTTATGCAAAGCGCCCTGGTTCAAATCCTACCACAGGTAGCTTTTTCTTTTGATTTTTTTAAAATACAAAATAAAACACTTTTGAAGTTTTACAGATATTATATGCATAGCATATATAAAGATATTATACAATCAAAAAAACTAAAAGGAGAGAATTTTTAAAAAAGCTTATTTGCCAATTATAAAGTTTTTTGTTTATCCAATTGTTTTAAAATTTTTGTCATTTAACATGCATATCTGGCCGAAGTGGCTAGGTCACCTTGTTACTGAAGTGCATCGCCATGGTTCAAATCCTACCATTGCCACCTTTTTATTTTTTAATCTTTTTTAATTTTTTTACAATACAAAGTAAATTTTTGAAGTTCTATAGATATTAAATAAAGAAAAAACATATTATAAACTATAACAAATAAAAAAAGATATTATATACTATAACAAATAAAAAAAGATATTATATACTATAACAAATATATAAAGATATTATATACTTTAACAAACGAATGGAAAAAAACATCTAAACACCAGGAAAAATCTGTTGCGCATATGTCAATGATAGAGATACTTATGTTATCAATATCTGTAAGGTATTTAGTTCTAATAAGCTGCGGATGGTCTAAATAACAATTAAGGTCTGAAACTTAATAAAGAAAAAAGACAGTCCTGCTACTCAAGAAGGTGTTGCTGTGGGGTCAAAAAAAAAGAAAAAAGAAAAACCTATAGCTCAAAAAAACTTTGAAATTTTATTTTAGGGTAGAGCGGGGCATATAGGTACACTTAAGAATCGCATGCTACTTGCAGATAAACTAATTTTAGTTAACTATGCTTTGTATAAATTTCCTAAAATTAATTGATATAAGAAATTAAAAAAATAAAAAAAAAATTTCTGAAAATAAGTTACGACAACCAAAGTAACGAAACTCTAGACTAGCATTTTGCAAGTGAATGGGACAAAATGGGACAGTTAAAAAGCAGTAGTTACTCATCAGTTGTAAAGCTTTAAAAATAATGAAAAATTAAGGCTATCTATCGTCTAAATATGTTTAGACATTAAACTCTCAAAAAAGTAACACCCCTAGAAACTACACGCCCTAACACCCATACACCATAAAAAAGAAATAACAGCTAAAATAAATTTTTTTTTTGTGTTTTATTATAAAATACCTTTGCTCTACTCTTATCTATATATTATAAAATTGGTAAATATTACTAAATTTAAAATTAAACAAAAAATTTTATAGGTCATATAAATCACACAAAAAATATCCTGGAATTATTTGGCAACATTTTTGATGAGCTGGCTTGTTAGCAATATGCTAATGTAAAGCAAACTTAAATATGCCATATGTATCAGCAGCTTTTCTAGTTCTAAGTTCCTTTTTACTTACAGCTAAAGCTGCATCTCATCCCATTTGGATGATTGATCTTTCTTATATCATTTCTTAACTTCTTTGTTTACATTAAATACTATTGATATTCGAAGTTAAGTTATAAAAATAAGAATTTTTTTGAATTTATTACTAAAATTCCTATTCTAAATAAGAAAAATAATATTTAGATAAAAGATAAAATCATCAAACTGTAAATAGCATCACGAAAGGGTAGTAATATATTCAATTGTATAAATAAGTTGTCTTGATATGCCCCACAAAAGTCATTTTACTGAAATTAAAACTATACAGAAAGTTCAATTCTAAATATTTTTTTTAAAACCAGATTCTAAAATAGGTAAAGAAATTCTGTCTGAAAAATATAAACTTTTTATAAAGCAAAATCACAATATTTCAAGATAAATCTTTTGTCGTTGTATCGCTTAAGAAAATATGCAAATTTTGTTTTTTGCAAACTTACTAATGCATTTTTGTACTTTAAATGCATTTTAATATTTCTAAAAAAAAAATTTTTACAATAATAAGGCGCTAAGGGAAGGTCTTGAAACAACACTGATGACAGCTTTTGGAATTGTTTAAATCAGAATGGAAAAAATTTTGTAATAAAATTTTATAGGCTAATCTACTATAAACCTCTGTTCAATTGTGTTTGGATTAATTTTTTTATAGGCTAATCTACTATAAACTGCTGTTCAATTGTATTTGGATTGATGTTTTTATAGGCTAATCTACTATAAACTGCTGTTTGATTGTGTTTGGATGTTTTTAAAAAATAAAGTTCTATTTTAATAATACATAAACTTAATCAAAAATGCATGAAAAAATGTTTTAATATTTGGTTTTTTAAATGGAGCCAATCATGACGATGATTTAGAAAAAAAAATTTTACATATAAACTTAATTTAACAAAAATCTACAAATATTAGAGTTACAGATGTTAGATCCTTTTTTTAAAAATCTTTGTAGAATATAGCTTTATATGAAAACATCTTCACACAACAAATATGATTTTAATTGACATTCTTTATATAAATCTCATAAAATTCATTACAATACTGCTGAAAGATAATTAGCATTTTCTGATTAAAAGTTCAAACTTATTTGGCCTTTAGTGCCAAAACAAATACTGGAGTGTATTTTTTAAATATACTTTATTCTGATTTTAACTGTTCATTTATTTGACACCTATTTTATTATATATTTGTTATTGTATTTTATATTTGTTTAAGTTATACTTGACATTGGCGTATCAAGTACCTTAAAAAATAATTTGGGGATACTGCTTTAAAAAAAAAGTTCCTCATATATCTGCTGAAATTGGTACTGGTAAAGCAGTACATGAATACTATGGATGTTCTAAGGGAGCATATTATATATATTTTAATTTAATCCTTTATTTTATATAATTTCCTTTACTTTTTGTAATGCAAAGTACTTATGGTAAAATTATATCCATAATGAATATGTTTATTAATTAATTAAGAAGTTTGGGATCAATTTTGGGCACCCAAACTGGTATACTGGTGTCAAAATCAACTTGGATACCTCAATGCTTGATCTTTTTTCAAGAATAAATTTGCAGTTTTTTTATTTAGGCAAATGGAATATATATTATTATGATGTTGATATTTTCTACCCTTAATGATGTCACAAACTCGCATGGACACAATGAAACTTCTTGTGAAAATAATAGTTCCACAAACTTTCTAGAGCGTAGTGGTGTCTCCTGTGAAAATAGTGTTTCTACAAACTTTTTAGAACAAAACGGTGAAAAAAAAAGTGTTACAATCTCTCAAGAACATAAGTATGTCTCAAGCGAACATTGTTCAATAAACTCTTTTGATAAATCATTGTTAAGTGGTCGTGGGTCAATTGGTAATGAACAATTGCAGGTATCTTTTTTATTGTGCCTGAAGTGTATTATTTCTTTGTAATAAGCTTTTGTGATATTAATTTGATGAAAATTTTGTTCTAGAAAAATGCATTTCGCACTCTTAGGTAAATATTTTAACAGGTGTAGTTTTTTTTTTTTTACTTTTTTAAACATGTTTTAACTAGTCTCGTTTTAAAATTTTTATTTAAATTTTTAGTTCTTTTTTTTTTTTTTTAGATTTTTTTAATTTAAATTATTATTATTTTTTTTTTTAAGAATATTTTTATTTGAAATATTCTTATTTTTTAATAAATTTTTATGTAAATTGTTTTTTATTTTAATTAACTATTATTTACAATGTTTTTTAAATTATTTTTGAAGGTTTTTGTTTAGCATGGAAAGAAATAGGCAGTTGTTTAAAAGGTTTCTACTTTTTATCAAAAAAAATTTTCATCTATATATGTAGCTTTTTATAAATTTTAAAATATTTTATAAAAATTTTAAAATAAATAATCATTAAATTGTAATATTTTGGATTCTTTTAGACAGCATAAACTATTCATTAACTGCTATAAAACATTTCGGATACAGTTGTAATGAGACTTTTTATAATGTATTCAAAGTATGCTATGAACTTGTTTGGTGTTGGGGCTCAGGCTCCTTCACCATCATTTTTAACTTTCAAGATTGTGTTACAATAGACAAGGTCATAATTTAGTTTGATCAAGGTCAGTTTCTTTGCTGACTGAGTGAAAAGATTTGTTTGTTATTACAAGTAACCATTAAACTGAGTTTTAGAGCTGTACCCTTATTAGAAGAGAAAAGAAAGAGTTGCATAGCCACTATCAAGGAGGCTTCTTCTTCTTTTTTCTTCTTCTTTAACAATTTAACTACTAAAATGTCATTCTTCCTTTTCTTGCTTCTTTACATTTTAATAAAAAAAGTGAAAAAAGGAAAGTTTATTTAAAAATCAATATAATAAATCAAAGTCATATAAATAAATTCAATAGGATAAATAGGTAGTAGACTCTAATAAACCACAAAACTTGATAGAGTAAAGTTTATAAAATATATTCTTGTTGAAGTAACTGAAGAAGTAAACACATAGATAATTGATTAATATTTTATCAATTATTGACCGACTTTTACTAAATACTCATTTTTTTTAGTTTTTATCAATTAACTTTTTATCAACAATATCAATTTACTTATGCCAACATCACATACAACGTTACAGAATCAAAAATTCTATTGTATCTCAGTTTAAAAACTATTTAATAATAATTTTATGATAATAAAAGACCAACTTTATTCTTGCGCGATAAATGAAGAAAAAAATTAGATTTTAAAAACTATTCAATCAAAATTACAATTATTACAAACTTTTTATTGTATTTAAAATGATTAAAATTTTTCATAAAATATTTTAATGACTAAAATATAAGTTTAACTAATTCTTTAATTTATCTATTTTTTATTAATATTATTTCATTTGCATTTATTAATTTGTTTCTATTGTTTTTGTTTTTCTTGATAATTTATTTGTTATTCAGGTTGTTCCCTGCTGAATTGTTTGAAAAATTTATTGATGTTGGACATTATCAGAGAGATTTAAATTCATATAATGGACTTGTCACTTATGTAAACCAGCTTACAGTAAGAATTTTTTTGTAGAGTTGTTAGATTAATTTAAAATTATAATTTAGTTTTTTTTAGTGCTCAATGGTTTAATAAGAAACTTCAGTTTTAAGGATTAGAAATTAGGATTTAAAAAAAAAAATTCTCTTCAATGTAGTATCACCATCATATTTTAATGTAGTGTCTCCAACATATTTCAATGTAGTATCACCATTAGAGGTGTGCCAGAACCAGTAAATGCTGGGTCTCCGATTCCATGTACCTGGTGGTAAAAACTGGGTACCTGGCACTGAGTCCATTAAAAAAAGTAAGAATAAAAAAAAGTTTAATCAAATAACAAATAATTTAGATAACACTTTTTTGCTGTCTTTCATTTTAATTTCTTTTATGATTTTAATTGTGAAAAATAAAAAACGTTATCAACGTACATAATAATTAAAATGTAGACAATCAAATAATTTTTCCGAAATTGATTGAAAACTTCATTTGAACAGAATTTAGATTTTTAAAAATGCCTAAAAAATAATTAAAACCCCTAAAACTATGCAATACTTCTTTGTTTTTAGCAGCTGTGGCGCTGTGGTTGATTCCTTGCCTCAGAAACAAGAGGGATTGCACCTCCTCTTGTTTCTGAGGGGGCACACCCCTCCCTCTACTTTTTTTTGTGTAGACTTTCTTTTTTTAAAGAAATTGATGATTTTTATAAGAGATTTTTTTTAAAAATGAGGTATAAGCCCCCACTTTAAAAACCGTGTCGTTGCCAAAAAATCAGTTGTATTTGTAAATCAGTTAAATTGTTGGTTAAAAGGTCATTGGTTTAAACATTTATTTATTGTAAATAAACATTTAGCCAAAACCTTATTTAAAAACGACCTACACAAAGTATTAAACTTTCATTCATTTTTTGCAAATAAAATTGAGAAAAATGAATGTTGTTTGTTTTTTTCTTTTTTTTTTTATTTCGTTTGTATTCTCATATTATTTGGTTTTACTTTACAGTTTTTATATCTGTATAAATCAGTTTCCTTTTTGCAATATTATCTTCTATTAAGGTTTTTCAATATAATATAGCAAAAATATATTCGAAAAAATAATTTAAGTGAGACACATATAGATTTAGTACATAGAAATTATTAACTTCTGAAACTATCAAGAAGTTTATTGGTTGAAGCACTATTTTTTATCTGGTTAGTAGTATTTTTACACAATTTAAAGCAACACTGAAACAAAATTTGTTTATTATTTTTATTATTTATTAGTTACTTAAAAATTTTTGCTTTGTTTTGCCTGCTAAAAATTAGCACTTAAATGTTTTGTCTGCTAAAAATATTTTTCAAAATACCCGGTGCCGGGTACATCAACAAGGTGGTCAATTCCAGGTACCCAGTAAAACCGTCAAATTACCAGGTCCCCAGGTCCAAACCAGGTACCTAGCACATCTCTAATCACCATCATATTTCAATGTAGTGTTGCTATCATATTTCAACATGTAGTGTCACCATCACATTTCAATGTTGTGGTATCATTATATTTCAGCATGTACTATCACCATCATATTTCAGCATGTAGTGTCACCATCATATTTCAATGTAGTGTCAACATTATATTTGAATGTAGTGTCTCCATCATATTTCAACATGTAGCTTAAAAAACTTTGTATTAGTGTGGAATTTTGAATTTTGCAATTTTTTGTTTATTTCAAATTTGATTGAATCTTAATTTAAATTATTTAATTTTAACAGAATTTTTCACTGTATTTATAATTTTTTTAAAGAGCGAACTAATACATATTTGGAAAAATATATATGGTTATATCTACTCAAAAGGCTTGATCATCCGAAAAACTTTAGTTTAAGATGCAATCTCTTTCTGCTTGATAATTCAAGACACTTATTTCTGCTGATAGTTTTTGTTCTTCCAAAAATTTAAAAAAGCACACTATCATTCATACACTTTCTTTTTGATAGGAGAGGAGAGGCTTCTTTTTTTGTGAAAGTTACCTAGTTACTAATCCCCAATTTAATTGTGTGTAGGTATAAAAGGAGCTTTTAAATTTTTACAATGTTAATATTTCATTAATAGTCTTGGTATGCAAAATAGGTTAATATTAAATGCATTTGGTTAAAATTTGTTTCATTTTTTGTCAAAAATTGAAACAAATGATGTTGTTGTTGGTGAAATAAGTGTTAATGAAATTTTAAAAAATTGATAGTACTAGAGTCTTTTAGTAAATCAAGTAATTTAATTTATCTGTAGAAAATTTGGTTGGCTTCTGCTATGAGCTTGTGTAAATGTTTTAAAATGTTCCAAAGAAAGATTTTTACATAAAAAAATTTTAAGTGAATTTTACTTTTTAAAACTGGTCTCTTTTTTTGCTTCTTCAACAATTTTTTTGATATCTCAATACATGCATAAAACAAATATGTTTATTTTATTTTTTTCAACAAGAGAAATGTTTATTTTATTTTTTTTCAAAATTTGATGATCATTTTAAAATTATTGTCTTCTTTCCGAGCATAGATTTTAACTTTTGTTTAATGAAATCTGCAGTTCTAACATAGACCAAAACATTTATTTTTTTTCTGCATTGATTGTATTTGGTCTGAGTTGCATCAATTTCAGCTGCTTTTAGCTGGTTTTCTATATATCTGAATGTTTTAGATAAAACTTTTATATATCTGAAACATTTCCATTTATTAATGATTTATTGCCATTCATTTTTAAGATTTTAAGATTTTTTTTATTGGTTATTTTAAGTAAATAAAGAACCTGAAATTCACATTTCATATAAAATTCAAATTAAGGACTCTGAGGCATATTTTTTTTATCACAACATAAAATATTGTAATTTACTCAACACATAATGAACTTGGGTAGTAAGTGACCAGAGTTTAAATTTGACCTAGGCTAAGTTTGATTAAACTCTCCTAAGGTTTTTATCTTCTACGGTTTATTTTCTTCGGTTTGTTGTGTTTTTCAGTTTGTTTTCTTCTACGGTTTGTTTTCTTCTACGGTTCGTGAATTAGAAAACATTTTTATCATAGTCAAACAAAAGTGTTCTCTAGAACTCTTTTCAATTTTCGCTAAAGTAATAAGTGCTAAATAAGTGGTTTCAGTTTTTAAAAATTCTAGAAAACACTTAGCTCTTTAACTAACTACTTAAAAATTCTACAAAACACTTACCTCTTCAACTATCCTCCAGTCTTCTATCTATTATCAATTAGTCTTCTATCTATTATTAGTTTCTTTACAAAAAAGATTTTCTAATTATTGAATTATTTCTTTCTAATCGCAGCACTTAAGTCATTTTCAAAGGCCTCCGCTCTTTTTCATTTCCAGTAACTTTAAGGGTACTACAATGTTTTATCTTTACTCCTGTATTGTTAACTACAGTAATGAGCATTCTGACAAACTTATGTTTAAAGTGGCTCTATTTGCTGACAACTCAACTTTATACTCTTAACTTGATAAAAAGTTCTAACTTTTTGATTGCTTAGAACATATCTTTAATCTATTTATAATCTATTTTTTTATATCTAATTCTATAACATCTTGGGACTTTCTGTGGATTTTTACTCCAAAACAAAATCAGTTATTAACTGCAAACAACTATCACAATATTGTTGACATTCCTTTATTCATGATCTTCTCACTCTCAGACAACTATCACAATATTGTTGACATTCCTTTATTCATGATCTTCTCACTCTCAGACAAGGTCCAAAAGCACATTGTAAATGTAGTTGGATAAGCTTTATGTGCGGAGATAAAGCTTGTCCAACTAGATGTTTTAAAAATAAGAATGTTAGCTTATAGTTAGCCTTTATACTTTCAAAAATAAAATTATGTTTTTTATTTTATTTTAATTAGAATTGAATTTTTTTTAAATCACATATTTATTTAAGCACTAAAAATGGTTCAGTTTGTTTATTTTTCATGTTTTTGATAAATCTCTGGGAGCAATAAGTGATAACAAGGAGTTTTTTAATTTTTAGCTTTAATAAATACTATTTTTTTTAAATACTTCAATTGATCGGACAATAATTTACAATATGGTTAAATTTAAAAGTGGTTATAAGTTATTTCATGTTCAAAAGGAAAGTAATTTTTAAGCTACAATTGTCCTTTAATTCTACGCAAAAACAAAAAAGGATTTTTTACTTCTAACTAATTTTAAAACATCACTATTGTTTAAATGCAAAACAAGAAACAACACAATACTAAACACTCATGGTATGAACAATCATGATATGATCAATCATCATAAAAACATCATGTTACAAGCAATCATGAAACAACAAATGATAGTAAATCAATTTTTCAAGAAAGTTTTATCTGAGTACAGCAACCACAGATTTATATAAGGTAAATGACAAATTCAAATAGTTTTGAATGAATAAATCTTATAAAAAGTTAGATGTTTTTGGATCTGGGTATTTGGAAAACACTTTTTATCTGTAGGTTTTTTGGCTAGAATATGTTATATATTGGACAAAGAAGTATACATTGATTTTTACATGCACATTTAGTTAAAAAAAATTAACTGCAAAAGATCAAACATGCACTTTGATTAAGTCATTAATGTTTTCATAATGTTACTTGTAATTTTTATTGTGTTAAGTATTTGTGTGTGTTACCTCAAGATGTTGGTAGTGCTATCCATTAAAACACTTATAAGTGTACTTTTTTTGTCGGATATTATTGAAAATAAATCAACTAATAGAAATCAGTTAAGGAATGTTTCACATTTTTATAATCGTTTTAAAATAAATTTTTATAAATTTTTATACGTTATTCGTATTATTTTTTATAGTCGTTTTATTATATTATGTATTCAAAGCATGGTGTCTTTGGTCTTTTGGAGAATATGTAGATGTCATTTTTACACGATTATATGACATGACATAGTGTAACATTAGACATTTGACAGACCTGTTTAAAGGTAATCACATTTTACATACCTTTATTGAGTTTATTACTACAACAATTTTTTTTATTGTAGGTGCTATTACAGGTAACTTTATGAAGGGTATCTTTAAGACAGGTACCTTTATTATAGATAAAAAATATCTGTTTCTTTTTATCACAGTACATTGGTTTCCAAATTTCTTTTAGAGACTTAGAAATTATTTTTTATGTTTTATTGTTTATCTAGTATTTCTCTTTTGCAAGCCTGTTCTGATTGGAGTTGCTTTTTCAAGAAAATATTGTCAAATTTCAGAAAAATATTTTCCTTTTGTAGTTTGTATTCTAATATTTTGAAAATTTATTTATCATAAAATTTCCTGTAATTTGTTGTCTTTTACAAATTCAACATTTATGCAATCTTTAATGTTCACAGCCAAACCAAATCCTGAAACAGTATTTTTTTTAATTTCAAATTTTTGATACATTATGTACTTAGCTAAATTGTAAAAATATTTTGAAATATTTAGTTAAATCCCTTTTTTTGCCTTACTTTAAGGGAGTTAATTGAAATTTTTCTAATTTATGTCAATTTACGTCAAGATAAATTAAATAAAAATGAAGAATATTTTTTTCAGTTAATGGAATATCAAGAAATTAGAGAAAGAATTCAAACAATAAATTTGAATAAGGCACCAAGTTTTTATGTACAATCTTATGCTGTTTATGAACACCTTGGTACAGGAGCATTTGGAAGTGTTTATAAGGTTCAATATACTAATATATCAATTTTACAAGTTAATATGGTAGTCCCATAATTTTAATATTTTAATTTATTAAATTTGTTATTTGTGATTTTATTTTTTCTTTTATCAAATCTTATTATGTTATTTTATCAGTATCTTGTGTAATATTTAAATCAGGTGAAAAGAAAAGGTGGCCAATCATATTTGGCAATGAAAGAGGTATAATACAAAATTAAGCAGTGAAAACAAAAGTTTTATTCAGAATTAAAATATTTTGTTTTTCTTAAAAAAGTTTTTTAAGAAAAATTAAAAATTGAAATAATCTTAATAAAGATTTCAGTTCGACATCCAGAATTTGGAAAGGGGAGAGAAAGAAGTGAAAATATTGACAGTCTTATAAATGAATGTTCATTTGTGAAAAAGCAGGTATAGAACATTGTTTTAAAATAATTATGTTGGCAATTATCTTATCATAGTTACTTTTTTGATTCTTTTTTTATTTTTGTGTTATTGATGTGTTTATAGACTTACCAGGTTTGCAATTCAAATAATATATTGCATTATTTTTATAAAGTTTTTCTATTTTTAGTTGAATCATCCGAACATTGTAAAATACCACAAAGCATTCTTAGAAGGTTTTATAATAGTTCTCCATTTTTTTATGTTTTAAAGAGTTAATTGATTATGTTAGAAGATATTACAAGAATTTTTATTTTGTGGAAATTTTTATTAATGTCTTAATTTTTTATTTAGGAGATAAGTTATATATCATAATGGATTTAATAGACGGAGCTCCAATCGGTGAACATTTTAATTCGTTGAAAGAAAAAGGTCAAAGATTTTCCGAAGAACGTCTTTGGAACATTTTTGTTCAGGTTTTTTTTATATTCTTGTGATGATAAATTTGTTTAAGCGAATTTTTGTAACTCAATAATATTTTAAAAGATGGTCCTTGCTTTAAAAGATGGTCCTTGCTTTACGCTACATTCATAAAGAGAAGTTTATTGTTCATCGCGATTTGACTCCTAACAATATAATGCTCGGTGAAGATGATCAAGTTACAATAAGTAAGTAATTATTACTTTGTTGTTCTTTTTTCGCTTACTTTGTTTTGATGATCAAATTGATTTGTTTGTTAGAACTGTTTACGCTTTTTTTAAATAAGACTTTTTTATTTAGCTGATTTTGGGTTAGCAAGACAAAAAAATCCTGAAGCAAGCAAATTAACTTCCATGGTGGGAACAATTGTATATTCTTGGTAAAAAAAAATATTTTCTGTTTTACATTATTTGAAGTTACAAATAAGTTTCAGCTTCATTATTCAAATCTTTTCTTAAAATTTGTGATGCTTCAAATTATGTGTTGCTTTTTAAAAAAACAATTTTATTTAATAATGATATTGTTGTTATTTTTATTCAAGTCCTGAGATAGTAAAAGGCCTCCCATATGGTGAAAAAGCAGATATCTGGGGAATCGGATGCATACTTTATCAAATGGCCATGCTTGAGCCTCCATTTTTTTCCAATAATATGTTATCAATGGCGACTAAGGTAAATTTTTCATAAGATTTGTCTTTAAGATTCACTTAATTTTTTATTTATTTAAGTTTACATGAAAAATTTAAATTTATTGTACTTCTGATTTACTGAAGTATTTGAAGTAAATGTAAATACCAAAAAAATGTGTCCTTAACTAAACTAGATAAGCTGCTGTGACTGAAAGATTTGTGCATTAGATGGAGACAGAGAGGCTAGACCTATTGCTCTTGACATATCTAAAGCTTTTGACAAAGTTTGGCATGCTAGTCTTCTCCATGCTCTAAAAAGTTTTATTTGTCTAGTTTTTTCCCCACACTTCAACTCTTTAGAACTCTTGCCCATCTTCATATTTTCCTGACTCATACAAACTTCAACTTTTTTAAGCCTTGGTGAATAGAGTTATAGAGCATTTGTTTCCTTGCTCTATAACTCTATTTTTTTTACTAGTAATGTCCAACTTAATAGTGGTTGCATGCAGCCATGTTTGGAGTAAATCACAATAAATAAAAAATTAAAGAATAAAAAGATATGACAACAGATTTTTTTTTTTAAATGCACCTTTTAATAATTGATACATAGATTTCATTTACCAATTACGCAAATATTATACACAGTTTTGTATTCATTATATGTGCCATTACAACATAAACAAACTTTCTTTGATTCTAAAATAAGAATGATATAATGTTAAACAATCTGGTTCATAAAACTTTCTCTTTAAAAGTAAGAATGACATAATATGGAATAATTGGATACATATCAGTTTTTGTGTGATGACTAATCTGTGACAAAATAGTGTAGATCTGGTAATGTGGATCTGATGACGAGGCTACAATAAGAACATTGAGAAGTCATTAGAAAAATAAAAGTCATTTGGAACATTTTTTAGCACATTTTTTTTGTTGTTGATTGCTCTTGTAGTTACAAGATGCTCTTATTAAAAAAAAAGTAATATTTTTAAATTATCTATGTAAATGTTTTCATCATTGCAAAATGCTCTTATACAAAATGAAATTGTTTTTAAAACTTCAAAACAGCAAAACATTTTATTTTTATTTTTTTTAAGTTTACAACTTTAGAAACTAAAGTTTGTCTAACCTTATTATTTTATAACCTTATTATTTTATAACTTATTATTTTTTAACCTTAAAAAATTAATGTAAGTATTATTATTTTCTAATAAATATATTTTTTGATGTATTTTATTATTCAGTTGTTCAAATCCACTTTTTTCCACTTTTCGTTCACTGTTCTGAGTTGAACTTTGAATGATAGTTCCCAATAAAATTAAGAATTAATACAGTCAAGTTGGGTAAAAGTTTACCCAACTTGACTGTAGCGGCAGAGTCTTGGGTACTTGGTAATAATAAATCAACACTCAAGTTATACCATGATATGTATGAAATATCTATAATATAAATATAGGTGTATGTGGTACAGGTACTATTATCTAAACTCAATTTTTTTTTTTTTTTTAATAGGTAAATATACATTTAGGTTCAATGACCTTTTATAAAAAATTTTGTTTATTTTAAGATTGTTGATGGTTTATATGAACCTCTTAAAGATGGCGTTTATTCCACTTTGGTGACTCTTGTAATACAACGGTATATTGCTACAATTGAGCACATTTCATGTTGCATTTGTAATTATTTTCATAAAAAATTTCTTTTTTTGTTTGATTTTGGAAACCAAAGATTGTGTTTGGGTTCCAAAATATATATATTTTTATATATATAAATATGTTTATAACAATAAAAGCACATATAGATTGCCTGACTTCATACTAAAATAGAGAGCTTCATACTTTATGTGGAGCTTCAGCACAAATTAACTGATATAGGGAGACCATTCAAAGGAGTTGCTACTACATCATCTGAGGGTTTGTATATAAGTATATATGAATGTAAATATATATATATATATATATATATATATATATATATATATATATATATATATATATATATATTTATACATATATTTATACATACATATATATATATATATATATATATATATATATATATATATATATATATATATATATATTTATATATATACACACACATTTATATACAAACAATTGCTGCCTTAACTT